CCTGTCTCCTTCTCATGGTAACTGTTTTTCTCTCCAAATTGACATTGTACGACTTGACCAATCTAGCTTCCGCCTCATCCCTTGCACAATCAACTCCTTTGTTTGCAGCAGAATACTCCATAACAACTCCTTAGTCCCTTAACCTACTAGCGAAAAAGAAGAGTTCATAAAGTACTGAGCCTTATAAATTTCTCCCACCAAGGTGTTTGGTCGGGAGATTAATCTCCACAATTGCTTTCCCAATATCGCTAGATTGAACTCACGTAGAGACCTATACCCCAACCCTCCTTTTTGTTTAGGTCTACATAAATATTGTCAATTCCTCTAACGAATTTATGTGCCCGTTTGATCATTACCCAATCACCAATAACCTTTCATAATTCTTTCGATCTCTGAACACATCAACTTTGGTAATATGAAAAAACATTCATCACATAGGTAGGCATAGCATGGATAACGATTTTCAACAATATCTCATGTCCCGCCTTAGATAGAAATCTATTAAGCAGTCCAATATGCCCATCTTCTTATGCCCTATCAGCGAGGATAAACCAAGATAACAGATATTAGCTCCTTCACAAGATACCCCAAATAGTTACAAGCAGTAGTTTGGTTCACCTCATTTAGATTGGCACTAAAATTAATATAAGATTTAGTGTAATTCACCTTCTCCCCCGACCCAATTTCAAAAATTTGTAACAGATTTTCACCTTTCCACACTCTCTCCCATTAGCCAGGAAGAAAAGGTAACTATCATTAGTGAAGAATAAACGGGAACCTCTCGTGCCTTTTTTGCCACTACAATCCCCAACGGCACTTTAGTCCTTTGACAACGAGAATAAAAAGTTAAGGGGATAGAAGATCCCCTTGTCTCAACCCTCTTTGAGGAATAATAGACCCAACCGTGCCACCATCAAAAGGGATGCGGTACTCAAGAATCTTTCAAGCAACCTTCATTTTATCAACCAAAGTTTTTGCAAAAAATTATAAGCCATGTTACACAGTGCTATAAGTCTTCAATCAGCCAAAGAATCCGCTCTACCTTCTTAGGAATTAGCACTAGATTAGCCATATTTAACTCCCTCGGAATACAATCCTCTGACATCATGCTTTGACAAGAGCTCACAATATCCCCTCCTAAAATGTCCTAGTAATATTGAAAAAATTTAAGATTCAGCCCGTCTGGACCGAACACTTTATCTGGATGCATGGCAAAGGTTGCCTTTTTTACTTTAAGAAACGAAATATTCTTCATCAGATCTGAGTTTTGATCTAAAGTCACAGTTGATAATCGAGCAAACAAATCAGAGCTAATATTACTAAAAGTCGAAGTAAACAAGTCACTTAAATAGTTTTCAACCAACACACTTACCTTATTTTTGTCAGCTACCCATTCCCCATTCGGTAGCCGCAATCACTTTATATTGTTGTACAAATTTCACATCCCTTGTATATACTAGATTAATTTTTCAAAAATGCTCTTTGTACACCTTCTTATACACATTACTACACACTATATATACTCCTAAATGTTTTTACCCCTCTCACACCCTTTACCCCTTCCCCACTTATCTCTCCTCTCTCCCCCCTTCGACGCCATTCCTTTCCCTTCTTTCTCTTTTCTTCCTTTTCGTTCAATTCTTTCTCTTTTCTTCAACTTTAAGAGCTCTCAAGAGGTCTCAAGTGGTATAGAAATTTTCATCAACTACTTCTTCGATTGTGGATTTAATTTTCTTCTCCCAAAGCCTTGTTCATATAAGGTATTTATTCCATTTGTTGTGTATTTTGGGTCACAATTATTTCTGTTTCTTCTTACTTTATGTATATGATATACAGAGTATGTTATAATGTTGAATGTTTATTTACACTGTTATATACTTATAGATATGTGATGTTAATAATTTAATTTTTTTGTTCAAATATTCTATTTCACTTTTTTGCTCATAAGGTGTTTGTTGTAATGCTTCAATGATTTTATTTATTTATATACACGATTTTGGAAGTTCATTCTCCTTTTTTGCTAATATGCTTTTATACTTGATGGATTTTAAAAGTTCTTTTTTGTTGCAGGTTTCTTCAAATAAGCTAAAGCCTAAAGAGTGGGTGACTGGAATTTTATTTTTTGCAGATAAACTTCTAATTATTAGTTGCTACTAGCTAGATTGCTTCAAAAAGGAGCTACGGCCTTGCACCTATAAAACCTGTGAACTTGGCAGCAATAAATCACCTGTAAAGTTGATTCTTATAGTTCACCATAGAGTTTTCAAACGTTAAAGAGGGAAAATGGTGAATTGACTGAGCAAGTGAAGCAATTGAAGTTTGGCAGGGCATGAAAAACTATGACTAGAGGAGAATCTTGTGCTCAATGCTCAAGTAATTTGGTGATAAAATAGCAAGAGGAGAAAAATTATTTGAAATGAATATGCAAAAACCAAAAGAGAATAAAAAAGCACTCAAGGCTGAATTGGTGGTGCTTCTAGCCTTCTAGGTGAGTTAGAAAAAATGAAAGTCAGACATGTATCAGAAATGAAGATTGAAAGTGAAGTAGCTAGATTTATAGTACTTAGCTAGGTCTCATTTGATGTATATGTATCAATTGTATCAGTTGGTTTACTTGTCAATAAAATGTATTGAGTAGTATGTCAACTAGTTTATGGTTTATTTTTGAAGTGTTGCTTCTAAGATGGTTAGAAAATATTGATGCTCATTAAGAGAATGTCAGAAATTGAAACTGTCTTTGCGTTCATTTATATTGTGTGTGCATGATTAAAACATTGTTCATTTGTAAAAAACTATTGTTTATGTGTTTGTTTATATTGTTTGTACATGATTAAATATTGTCTGTGTCCATTTATTTTGTCAGTGGATAGAAAATAATTGTCTGGGCATTCATTTATATTGTCTGTGCATGGTTTAAATATTGCCTGTGTGCTCATTTGTTTTGTCTGTGCGAAGAAAGTAATTGTCTGTGTGTTTCCTTATATTGTTTGTGCATAGTTAAATTATTGTTTGTGTGTTCATTTATTTTGTATGTGTGTAATAAATAATTGTCTATGTTCATTTAAATTGTCTGTCACTAATTCATACTCATAATATGATTCGCTTATCCATAGTACGCAACTAGTGAGTTGGCTTGTCAAAGAATGACAAAAATAAATCATGTTGACATACATGAGACTAAAATTGAAAACTACCAACTACTCATACTTATTATTATATGGGACTTGCACTAAGGCAAAATAATCCCCCAAAGTCCCAAACACAACTAGTTATGATTATGTGGACTTGCACAAAAGCAAGACAATTACCAACAAAACAAAATAATACAAAAAGCAAAGATTACACCTTCACAAGCTAAGGTACACCACACTTTCAAGTTAAACTTTACATGAAACTAAATCAACTTCCTCAATCGTAGGACCACCTGCACTAGTAGCACTACCACCACCGAAACCAGCAGTACCACCATCCATATGAGAGGGCCAACACCACCTTGGTACATCTAAGTAATGATGTGATTACAAATACTCTCAAGTTCCTTAAACTTGTCTGCAAATTTATCAACCTCCACAAGTTGGTTGTATCAACCTCCACAAGTTACAAATAGCCTGTTCAACAACACCCTCAATTTTCTTCTTATCTTCTACCGGCAGCTAGGAGCCACATCCACAACCGGCAAGCACACTAACCATTAACCACTTCATAAAATTACAAAAAGTCAAGAACAATTTACTAAAATCCCCCCAAGTAAATCCCAGACTTTTACTCAACGATCTCTCTTGCCAATAAAAATCAGCTCAATATGCAACATATGCTGTATTTGTATTATTCAAGAACCTCCCTCCCTGCTGGGCATTTGTATTTCCTTGTATATTCTATGGCAACAACATATGAGAAGGGAAACCCCAATGAGAAATGTACTCCTGGTATGTGAGGGAAGAATTATGCAGCATTGCCCTTTCATGTGAAACAATTGTATATCAATTACAGGGTTTCTTAGCAATGGAAATTGTATAAAATATTTCATTCCTTACTTCCTGTGAAATAATTTGATCACATAATAATGAAAGCATTTACCCATGGATGTATATAAGTATATTCCTTCTTTTGACCATCTAGGCTATTGCATCTTACATTCTTACTGTTTCAAGAAAATCAGAGCATCAAGTTGAGATAACTGCCACTAGAAGATAAGAGAAAAAAGATAAGAAAAAAAGAAGAGTAAAAGTCTTGGATTTAATATTACTAAAAGTCATGAATCTTCAACTAATTAACAAAAAAAAGAGTGAAAATCATGGATTTAAACAAAAAAAAAATCATTGAGTCATTTCAACAAACATGCTATAGGCATAAATGTGAAATAAGACAATTGAACTAAAATTTCAATATCTCACACTACACCCTCTTACAATAATGCAATGTACTCAACTATTAAGCATTATACCATACATAATATACAAAAAAAACAGAAATTTTAAATAAATAAAACCTAAAATACACGAAGAAAAATCAAAGTATACCCCAATATTAAGGGCTGGTTGATTGAAGCTCCTTGTTCGAGCAGCGAAATCGACTGTATAATCCTCTCCGTCGCATTGATTCCAGCTGCAACCAGGACGTTTGAGTTGGACTCAGATTTTACGAGGATGGACGTAAAGGCTGAAACGGCTGACCCGTTGTGCGGGTCCAAGAAGAAACAAAAGCAGAAGAATGAAGAGAAAGGAAATGAAGAGGGGAAAGAACAAAGGGAGAAGAGGGAGGTTGGGAGACTATCGTAAAAGAAGTGAGGGAGAAGAGGGAGAGAGAAGTGTAAAAGCAAAAGGAAGAAGGTAAAAAAATAAAATCCTTTTATAGTGTGTACTGATGTGTAGAATAAGTGTGTACAAAGAGACTTTTTGTTAATTTTTTATGCAGATGGCTCTATCATGCCATATTAGTGATCTGACCCGTTATTTCTCTATATATACACCTTATGGGATACTTCACTCATTATACACATTGTTTCCTTCTTCATTCCTTGTTGATCTCTCTTCACAATTATCCATCAAATTGTGTTCTAGTAGAGAGATTCGAACACAATGGAGTGAGATCCCTTCAAAATAAACAAAAAATCTTCCCAATCACAAAAATCAAGAAATTGTTCTGAACAATTTAAAAAAAATCTGGAAGGGTGCAGATCTGATCTGAATCAGTTCCGGCCAGATCGGAACTGGCCGGTCAACCGGAGCAGCTCAAAGTCAGAGGGAGGAAGCAGATCCGACCCAGTCCGGCAACTAGCAGCTCCTTCCTCGTCTGCCGAGGTGGGACCGCCTCTGTTAGCTCATTCATTCGCCTCTCGCCTTCTCCAGCCATAACCCTCTCTAGCTTCACGAACTGTGTCCGCCATTAATGGTCGCTAGGAAGCTCTGTTCTCGAACCACAAGCGAACGTGAAGATATCGTGGGCCGTTGCTGCTAAACAACTGGAACTACCTCCGATAAACATAGCTTGAGGAGCCTACTTGTCAAGGACGTCCCATTTTCGAGCTCCGCCGCGAGGAGAGCTCTTAGTCGCAACCAGAGATTTTCTACAACCCATGCTGACAACGACAACGACTGAGGACCTGTCTGGGCCTCCCCTCTCCGGTCGGAAAGCGGCGACCTCTTTTTTCGCCCTTGCTGACGGAGACCGTACGTGACGAGCGGCCAGCTGCGACCAGATCCGTGTCCCCCTTTCCGGCGGCCGCGATAAGAAAAGCTGGTTCCGCCGTGTGACCAGCCGACATCATTTGCAAAAGAGCCTGGGCCGAGGACTTCAGTTGACTCAGTCAACAATTAAAAGTCCCGCTGGATTCTTTGGGCTAAGAGAGAAGAAGTGGGCCAGGCCATGTATGGTCCAATTAAATAGTTCAACGGACCTCAATTTCAGTAACATATTTCAGCCCAGGTAGTCCAATATTTCAGCCCACTCCAAAAAGCTAAGTACTCCAATTTTTATTTGCGGCCACCCAGTCAACTTTCTAATTTTTATACTCCGTATGTGGTAGTATTTAATACTATCTCCGTCCCAGTAGACTTTGCCAAATGCAAATTATGTGAGAAATAAGAATAGTAAAAATTGTGTGGTTGAAATTTGTGCAGAAGGGAGTCCAATATTTCTCACCTAATTAGTTGCTTAATAGGAAAGTGGCAAAGTTTTTTGGAACAAGTAAAAAAAGAAAATTAACAAAGTCCAATAGGATGGAGGATGGAGGGAGTAATTAGTTTTATTAACTTGTATACACGTTAGGTTGTCGATTTTGTATAACTTGTATGATGTTATTATTGTTTTTTTGACAGTATATGATGTTATTATTGTTAGTCGCTAATGGCTTGTTATAATCTTTTATAGATGCTGGAAGAGACGGTTGGAGGTTGTGCATGAGATTGCTGAAATTGTAGCACTTGTTGCTAAAGGCAATATTTATCCCCACCAGACACCAGTTGCTGAAAATTTGTGTCTATAAGGGTTTTTTTATTGGTTGCGCGTGTCAGCAACAAGCAGGGGCGTATTGGGCCTATGGCCAGGGAAGGCCAAGGCCCAATGCTCGAATTTTAAAAAATGTTAAGGTCCGTTAGTCCATTCATCCGTTGCACTCCACACGAGTCTCTCCTAGCGTTCTAGGCCTCTAGCGAAGCCCATAATTGGAAAATGGCTCAAAATCAGAAAATCCCAAGTTAGCAGGGGAAGAGGTAGCAGCCTAGCAGTCCGCATCTTTCCGCTTCGGCAAAACCCCCCCAAAGGCCACGTCCCAATTTCCAACCTAGCAATCCTCGTCGATCGTAAGTCGCTGCCTTTCTGGTCGCACGCAACACTCGGACGGCGCACAACGGTAATGAGTGTTTTGGTTTCCGGCGTTCTGCTCTAATTGAGAGGCGCGAGAGCTGCTCTTCAGTGGTAAGGTGAGGCCTGAGATTCCGAGAACTGCCTAAGTCATGGCGAAGTGGCTAAGATGTAAGTTTTCAATTCTTTAGTTTTATTGAGCTTTTGATTTAATTTAATTAAAGATTAAATTACATCTTGCTACTTATGAATTTGATTATTATTTGTAAACTTGCTTATTATGAATTTGATTATTATTTGTAAACTTGTAATCATCATTTATAAAATTACAGTAATTTGGTTGTGCTTTGTTATTATTAATCTATTATTAAGTTAATTAGTATTAATGTATTAATTAGTCATCATATTATTTTCAATAAAGTTAATGAAGAGACCCTGTTGAAGTAGGACAAGGTGTTTCCTTTAGTTGAAAGAGTATTTTCAGCAATGACTATTCTGAAGAATAGGTTGAGCAATCCAATGAGTGATGACTGGCTCAGTGATGGACTTATTGTTTATGTAGAAAAAAACATCTTCTTGAAAATTGACAATGGTGTCATTATCAAATGACATCAATCGATGAAAACACGTAGAGAACAGTGGTAAAATTGTGGTGTTTTTGTACTTGACTTTGATGAAAACTCTTATTCTTATAATGTTTATTTTTGTCTTTGATTTTGTTGTCACAATAGATTTTTTTCCATATTTAATTAAATTTTGCCCACCCTGGATGCCAAAGCTAGATCCGTCCCTGGTAACAAAGTTTGATGAACATCCTTTTCTTTGATGTATTTTTCCCTCGTCATTTAATCACATTACAATGTTTGATTCCTGATACATTGATTGATATTTTATTGCTGTAGATGAGTTAGACGCATAGTAACACTCAATAACCAGAGTACAAATGAAGATGGTACTAAATTCTGCTCTTAAAGTATATATAGAGTGTATGATTGATATTTTATTGCTGTAGATGAGTTAGACGCATAGTAACACTCAATTGCCTTCCAACAACGCCGACTCTTATCGCCGGAAAAGAATGTCAAGTTGAGAACAATGTCATCGTGATGGCAATTTTAAACTTTTTTTTTGGATATTTTCAATTAGTAAAAATGTCATCTTCATTATATTTTCAGAGAAATGTGGCATTTTTACACAAGATGACATTTCCCCCTGACGATTAGAGCTAAAGGTGGTGGGAGGTGGAAGATGTGGTGGCAGTGGCCTACATATTTTTTTTAATATGTTTTAGGCATTTTATTTACACTTTTTTAAGGTTTTTGTATTTTTTTTTAATTTTACTTTGACCCTCGTGCTCCTTTCCATCATTTGCAATGGAGCCAAATATTCATTATTTTTTGGGTTGAGAATATGATGGAATAAAGCAAAATGACTCATTAAACTGTGTGCGCTTCTTTGTTATGAAGCAGCAGTCAGTCCATGCAATTTTGGACATGATTTTCACTATGGGTCATCCGGAAACAGTTTCTCTGTGCTTTAGTATAAGGGTAAGACTACGTACATCCAACCCCCCTTACCCCACCGTAGGTGGGAGCTTTTGCGGCACTAGGGTAAATGAAAATGAAAATGAAATGATTTGACCCTTGTGCTCGTCGTAATCCTTGCGGACCCATGTGTTTCCAACCATCTTGAATTGAAGGGTTGCCACAAATATCAGTGTTTTCAATCCCAGATAGCGGAGCGGAGCGGCTAGACCCAAAAACGCTATAGCGGTATAGCGGATAGCGGGATAACCGCTATTTAAGCTACTTTTAAATATAATACATAAGTAATTACTAGAAGCATATATAATACATTACATACACATTTCAAGTTCAAAAAGTATGATATATGACAATGAAGCTTTCAAACATCCTTAACATTCCCAAATCCTAAATTACTTAGTAATACACTAATACTCTTTTAAGTCTTCAGTTTCATGACCAAAATATAAGATGATATCATGCTATAAATGATTAAAACATCTTGAATAAAAAACAAGGTTCTAGTTTAAGAGTTTGAGCCTTGATATATAAACAGTCAAAAAATTTAGATCCAACTAGCAAGCCCTTTGAATTCATCATTCACCACTCCTCCTCATCAAATTCTTCTTCTTCTTCCAACTCTATCTCATCTTCATTGTCATTTTCACTACTACTGCAATCATAAATTTCTTCTTCCACATTTGTCTGCTCTGCCACTTCAACATGCTCTATAAAGTCTATTGAGCGGTCTCTCACTCTAGAACTTGCAGCCCCTCTAGAGCTTGCAGCCCCTCTAGAGCTTGCAGCCCCTCTAGAGCTTGTACCCCTTTCATTTATTCTGCTTTGCTGCCTAGTGTTTATCAAAGGCTCACACACACCCGTTAGATCAGCAACATCTCCCCAAGTAAAGTTGGTGTCATCATCAAAAACCAAATCATCCTCGGCATCCTCTCCATCTCCCCCCATTACTCCCACTAACCACTCATGGCTATCATCAATGTCATTTAGGCGAATTGGATCAATCAAATCACGGCTATCAAATCGCTCCTTAAGATCTTGGTTATATTTAATATAAACCAAATCTTGCAACCTTTGATGCTCAAGCCTATTTCTCTTCTTCGAATGAATCTAAGTTACAAATTTATATAAAAAAAACTGTTAGTCCAGCCTCCAGTTTGTTGAAATTAGTATAAACAGTTTGTTGAACTTGTAAAACATGTAATAATAACTTAATAACATACATGCTCAAATGTACTCCAATTGCGCTCACATCCCGAGGAGCTACAAGTCAAACTTAAGATCTTTATGGCAAGCTTTTGAAGATTTGGTGTATGTGATCCATAGTTCCTCCACCATTCACCTTTAAATGCAAGTAAACATTAAACATTCTATTAGGGTGGGTGATAAAAAAAATCATATGCCTTAACTTACCTGGACCAAGAGTATCTCTTTGCCTTACTGCCAGCTTCAATCCAAAGAGACCTTCAGCTCTCTTATAAGCATTCAGCTCACTCGATATTTTATCTTCAATTTCTTCATTTTCACTAAGCCTCTCAATGCACGCGTAAAGCCCTTGCATAACCTCATTGTCCAGATCCATTCTTGGGTTCTTGTAGTAGAAAGAAGGGTTCAAATAATGACCAGCAGCATGCAAGGGATGATGGAGTTGAGTTTCCCATCTTAAATCAATAATTTCAAATATTTTTTTGTATCTCCTTTCATTCCCTTGAAAAGAACCCTGGATTGCTTCCTTGGCACGATCCATTGCTTCATAAATGTATCCCATTGCGGGTTTTTTTTCATGATCAGCCAGCCTTAGAACGCGTACAAGAGGACCCATCACTTTCAAAATGTAAACAACATCATTCCAAAATGTAGGATTAAGAATTATGTCCAGTACTCTCTTTGCATTTCGATCTTTGGAAACATTAGTGTTTTTATATTCATCGGAAGTAAACATGTTTCTAAGCTTCCCTCTTTGAGTATGCAGCCGTTGCAAGGTAAGGAATGACGTAGCGAACCTTGTAATACCACGTCTAAGCAATTCCATCTTGTTGGTGAACTTTCTCATCATGTTGAGAGCAATGGTATGGTTGTAGATGAAACCCACCACACAAATACCTTTTCTTATTGTTGTTTTAATTGTGGGCAACTTCCCAATGTCCTCAAGCATTAAATCTATGCAATGAGCAGCGCATGGAGTCCAAAATAAATGCTTTCTCTTCACTTGTAGCAGTTTTCCTAAAACATAAATCACTGAACTCAGCTGGGGCAGCATACTCACATAACTAAAATTCAGAATATTAAATTATAAATAAAGTCATATTGAAGTAATTGAACTAATAAATATTACCCGCAAGAACATAGTTACTTCCATTGTCGGTGATCACTTGCACCACATTTTCTTCTCCAATTGTCTCAACAAATTGATCAAGAAGCTCAAATAATTTCTCACCAGTTTTTGTGTATTCAGAACCATCAACACTCTTCACAAACATTGACCCCCTTGGGCAGTTCACCAAAAAATTAATCAATGTTCTATTTTTCCTATCTGACCATCCATCGGACATAATTGAGCATCCATATTGTGCACGTTCTTCTTCGTGGCCCTTTAACAGTCCTTTAGTGTACTCCAATTCTTTTTTAAGAAGTGGAACTCTACACTCATGATAGCTTGGGGGCTTTAAATGAGGACCATAATTTCCAATAGCCTCAACCATCAATTTGAAACTTTTTGATTTCACAACATTAAAAGCGATTCCATTTGTGCATAGAAATCTTTCAATATATTGAATGGTTCTGGCCCTAGCTTCCTTGTCACAAGCATCATTTATGCTTGTTTGCCTCTTAGCTTTTCCCAAGCTTATTGTGTTTTCTGGTTTCTTATAGTAAAGCAAGTCCAAGGGTCCTTTGACCTTTTTGGCAGAACGATGAGAGGACTCAGTTGCTGCAGTTAGGGGTCTTTTTCCTCTTCTAATATTCAGAATTTCATTAAGGTCTTCCATGTCATCTTCATCTTCTTGCAACTCCATGTATGCTTCTTTTTCCCCCTTTTTTTTCTCATATGCTTCTTTCAGGAAGATTGTAACATCAGCTGGAGTTTTCCTGCAAGCCCCAACATCTCCTCTCATTCCCATTTGGTGCCTTTTGGCTCTGGTAATTCCTCCAGTAGTAGTTTTGCCACAAAAATCACAAGTAACAGATTTCTTGTCGTTGGCATCTCTCAGACTGTTCCACTTCCAAGCTGGGTCAAGATGTTCTCCTGTGGGCTTAAACAACACAGTAGACTGACTAGACTCCATAAGAAGAAGAGAAGAGTGCAGCTCTGCAGCAAAGGTTGGAGAAGAATAGTTGCAGCAAAGGTTGGAGAAGAATAGTTGCAGCAAATATATTACTGAAGGCAGATGAGAGCAGCAGGTGTCGTTCTTGGAAGTGAGGCCATCGCAGAGCAGAAGAAAAAGATGATGGTCGTTAGAGCCATCGCAGAGGTGCAACGGACTATTTTCAAAACCTGGGCACCTGGGCTTCGATTTTAGCTTTTGGTATCCTTTAACTTACGTCTGAGCCTTTAACTAGGTTAATATTTTCTTTTAAAAGTCTATTTTACCCCTCTATGTCAGCGTTAAAAATTTTAACGCTAAAAAACTGGGCCGCAGTACTCTTTAGAACAAAAAGCGCCGCGTTAGCGGCCGCTATTACCTTCTGCGCATCCCTGCGATCGCGGCCGCTTAGAACGCAACTCCCAAACGCCACGCGAGACCCCTCCTCATCGCGCCTAACAGGTATGCCGCTCCGCTTTTCCGCTATTGCGCGCTAACGCGCCGCGATTCACAACACTGGCCACAATAGTAATCCTTATAGGAAATTTGACGCAGAAGTGTGTAAAACTTTTTCATCGCCTAATGGATGAAGTAGCCAATGAAAAAAATCATTGTTGCAAACTGCCAATGAAAAAATCATATATCTTCTCATAATTATTATCTAATACGTACAGAATCAAGAAAAAAGAAAAACAACATAAAACAGACATCATTATGTGATTTTGGATGTGACATGTTTTAAGAAAAAAAAATTAATTACTAGTCCATTATGTATACACAATAATATTTAATAAACATTTTATTTAATAAAAAAACAAAAGTTTATCACCTTTTCCCGTAATAATGTACTAGAAACTCGCCAATTATTAGTATTAGTCTTCTCATCATCAAGGAATTAAATGGCCTTAAAAATGAGAAGTAGAATATTACATAAACTCCAAAAGGAATTGGTTGGCATAAAAAATAAACTTTCTGAAAGCATTTCATGTGTGCAACTACAAAAAGGAACATTGGAATATTATATACTCCCTCCGGTTCTTTATGAAGTTTACACTTTGACTCCACTCATTTTAAAAAAATAAATTTGACTTTACTGTAGAGTACATTGTTGTGACACTGTTTGACACTGTTTTGCATTGTTTGGTGTAGATTTGTTTGCCAAATAAAGCAAATAAGAAAGTGTAAAGTTTAATATGGGACTGCCCAAAAAGAAAAGTGTAAATTTCATTAAGAACCGGAGGAAATAATTATATTATATTCATATAATTATATGAATTCATGCATCTTATTTCATACGTAGCACTTGTTTTGAATACAAATTTAGAAGAGTAATTTGAAATAAAGAAAGCACATAGAAGATCATTGTTGACCTCATCTATATGTTGAGTTGTAGTGTTTGTGAACATTTAGAATCTCATCCTCCCAATCCTCATCCGTAAGAGTACTTCCACATAGCACAGGAAGTAGAGGAAAGCGTTGAATGAAAAAATCATAAACCTTCTCATAACTACCACCTTAGACGTGCCGACATTAATAGAAAAGAAAAACAATATTAAACAGAAATCATTATGTGAATTTGGATATAACATACTTCAACAAAAAAATTGAAATACTAGTCTATTAGGTATAGACAATAATATTTAGTAAGCATTTCATATGGTAAAAAAAACAATTGTGATTTACCATTAAGCATTTCATATTTATAATGAATTGTTAAAGCAATTTATTGATGATATGTAACACTTCCCTTGAATATATATTTAGTCATTTCACTCCTATGTCTCCAAATATGTTTACAATAAAATTGCAGGCAATCAGAAAAATACAGTAAGAAAGGGAATTTCGTGTCTAGAAGTCTTGCAAACTGTTTTTGTCTTGACGTTTGTTACAATATGAACTTACTATATAGGATAATTACATCATGTCATTATAAATGAAAAGCATAAGTATCTCACTTAAGATTGAAGTATAAATAGGTAATGATGGTTATACCACTTTATCATCCTGAGCATGCTCAACTTTATTTCTGAAGAGCATTACAAGATTTGTCGTATCACCCTTGTTCCCTATGACGTCAAGTTGCTCGTTCGTAAACAACAAAAAAATTTTCATTTGTGTCTCGATCCTTTATTGTATTCCAATAATTAATGAAATCTTCACTCTTTCCAATAATTAGACTCAAACTAATTTTGAGAAAAAGAAAAAGTGGTTCATTACACTTCTCATGTGGCTTATATTCGGATACGATAGTACTCCTATGATCTCTTCCTCATTGGACATTATATTAATTTTCAATTCTTAATTATATAGCAATTAAGAACAATCTTTCTAAAGTTGATTATTCATGTCGCAAACAGAGCAAATTATTGTTATATTGAAGTAGGAAAGAGCAAACAATTGTGTAAGGCAGTCGTGTAGTACATATTTTCTATAGTTACAAATATTGTAAATGTCAATCATCTGCCGCCAAACATTGTTTTCATACATTGCATATGTTTTCCATGAGAGTGAATGTTATTTAACTCGAATACTATATATCATGCAAGTATTTTTTATACACATCATGCTATAAACTACATGAACCCTCAATCCGTGGTAACTTGTCCGCATTTAGAAAGTTGTTATGTAGCAGATTGAGACAAATCCACATTCAAAGAATTGATCGAGAGTTCTTAAGTGTTTCACTTGTTGCTGTGTTATCATGTATCTTGTTATCTAGCAGACTTGAGCAACCTCTAGATTAAAAGAATTTATCGAGAGTTTCTAAGTGCTTTAGATGTTCTCGTGTTATCATGTGTCACAAGTGGCTATATCTCTAATTAGTCATCTTTTACTTTACATTTTTGGTATAGGTTTTGCTATTTCCTACTGCAATATAGGGTGAACCATCCTACATTTCAGTAGAGAAAAGCAGGACTAAATTAAAATTGTAAGGTAAAAGATGAAAGATAAGAGGTATAGTGACTTGTGACACATGATAGCACGCCAACAAATAAAACATTAATGAACTCTCAATCAATTCTTTTATTTTGAATTTGTCTCAAGTCATGTATATAACATGACACATGATGACACAACAACAAGTAAAGCACTTAGGATTCTAGATCAATTAATTGAATTTGGATTTATCTCAAATCTGCTACGTAACAACCTTTTAAATGCGGACGAGGTAGCATGTAGTGAGTGTTAATGTAGGTTATCATGTGGTGTGTGTAGAAGAATCTTGCATAATATAATAATCGAGTTCAACAACATTCATTTCCACAGAAAACCATACACAGTTTATAAATTGTTTGGCGGCAGAAGATTTAGATTTACAAGATCTGTATCTTTAGAAGATCTGCTCTACGTGATCGACATACACATTTGTGCCCCCCTCAATATAACAATAATCCGGTTTGCTTTCGACATGACATAATTGACTTTAAAAAGATTATTCTTAACTACTGTATAATCGAATAATTGAAAATGAATCTGATTCCTAATGAGAAAGATATTATAGGGGTACAATTGGATCCGAATATACTCTACATAGGAAGTGTAATTAATCACTTTTTCATTTTCTCAAAATTAGCTTGAGTTCATTATTTGTGTGCCTTCAGATAGGAAGTTCATTTATAAAGATGCAAATGAGTTTGACATTTGTACGAGGTTTGAGAAGAGTCTTCTCTAATTATTGGGATAAGATAAAGGAGCAAGACACAAATAATTTTTTTTGTATTTACAAATAAATAACTTAATGTCATAGAAAACAAGAGTGATACGAGAAGTCGTGTGGTGCTTTTCAGAAATAAAGTTGAGCATGGTCGGAACGATAAAGAGTTATAAATGTCCGTATCTATTTATACTTCAATCTTAAGTGAGATACTCTTGTTTTTTATTAGTAATACCTTGATGTGATTACTCTATAGAGTAAATCATTCCGTAACAAACGTCAAGATAAAATAGGTTTGCAAGATTCCTAGACACATATTTCCTTTTCTTAATAATGTCTTTTTCTAATTGGTTGCAATTTTGTTGTAAACATATATTGAGACATATCAGTGAATGGACTAAATATATATTCAAAGGAAATGCGATATATCATAAATGAATTACTTTAACATTTCATTATAAATATGAAATACATAACGATATATCCCAATTGTTTTTTATTAAATGAAATGTTAATTAAATATTATTGTTTATACTTAATGGACTTGTAGATTCAATTTTTTTGTTGAAGTATGTTACATCCAAATTCATGTAAGGATTTCTGTTTATATTGTTTTTCTTTTCTTTTAATGTCAGCACATCTAAGGTGGTAGTTATGAGAAGGATTATGATTTTTTCATTCAGCGTTTTCCTCTACTTCCTGTGATATGTGCAAGTATTCTTACGAATGAAGATTGGGAGGATGAGATCCCGAGTGATCACAAACACTACAACTCAACATATAGATGAGGTTAGCTATGATCTTCTATGTGTTTTCTTTATTTAAAATTACTCTTCTACATATGTATTCAAAAGAAGTGCTAAATATGAAATATTATCCATGAATTCATATAATATATGTATATACTATATTCTAGTGTTCCTTTTTGTAGCTGCACACAGAAAATGCTTTCAGAAAGTTTATTTGAGTTCGTGTTGACAATTTCAGTGCTCCATTGCTGTTTTTTATGCCAATCAATTCCTTTTTGCGTTTATGTAATATTTCAGTGCTGTTTTTTTATGCCATTCAATTTCTTGCTGATGAGAAGACTAATACTCATAATTGGCGAGTTTCTAGTGCATTGTTACGGGAAGAGGTGATAAACTCTTGTGGCACAGAGGGTATAAGTGCTACGATTGAATCTGCAGAAAAAAGGTTAAAGGAACCTCAGAAAGAGAAGATTACTGGGATCACGGGTTGGTGGAGAGTGCGGGAAGCTACCGTCTTTGCTTTTTCTAGTGTCAAAGTAGCTACTTGTAACAGAAGTTTCTGGAAATTGTGGTGGTACTCTAAGAATGATTTTGGAGAAAATTCTTGTAGAACACATTGCAATAGGGTTTGATGAAGATCCTTTTCTTTATGCTCTTATGTTTTTAACCGTTGCTAAGTTTTCTTTTGATCAACCGGGGGATTAATGAGCAGTTTGTGTATTCGGCTGTAAAGGCAATTGATAGGGATGTGCCTCTGTAAAACCAGATGCTAGTCGAGAACTTTCACAGCTTGTAACTGCAGACCTCAGGAGTCATTTGGCCACATCCAGGACTCAATTTCATCGCTCACCAAGTGACTGAAGCATACACCTGATGTGCATTTTGGGTGCTTGAGACACTAAGGCTGCTGTCAGGACAGACCCTTTTGCCAAAATTTATGTTCTAGAAGTTTTAGAGGCAATAAAAACAGCTCCTGGTTGCATCCAGCCTTTGATTTCTTGAATTTTACCTTATGTTGGACATGTGCAGTTGTAAATCACATTATTGACAATGTTGTTGAAGGATGCATCGGTTGATGTCACCAAAGCTATTGGGGAAGTTTCTTTTGATCTTGTTATCAGGATAATCTTCCAAGGCGTTGATCACAACGAGATGCAGGAAATGGGATAGAGTGGAAATCAAAATGTGAAGGAAGTGATGATGAAGGTTCAAGCCATGCAGCTCATGGTCTAAGGATGATGAGACCCGAAATTTCACAAATACTACAGCTCAACATACATATGAGGTTAGCAATGATCTTTTCCAGGATTTTCTTTATTGAAAGTACTCTACTAGTTATATATTCAACGGAAGTGCTATATATGATCAATGAATTCATATAGTTTTATAATGCAAAATGATAAATTCTAAGTGTTTTTGAACAATATGAAATGCTTTCTAAATATTATTGTTTATACGTGGTTTAAATTTTTGTTCAAGTATGTCATATCCAAATCCAAATTCGCATAATGATATGTGTTTTATGTTGGTTTTCTATTTTCTTGATGTCAGCGCGTAATAGGTGATGGTTGGGAAAGATTTATGATTTTTCATTAGCCGTTTTCGTCAACTTCCAGTGGCATTTACAAGTATTCTCACGGATGATGATTGGAATGGTGATATCCTAAGTACACAAATACTAAAACTCAACACATAGGTGAAGTTTACAATGATCTTCTGTGTTTTCTTTATTTAAAAGTACTCTACTATTAAAGAGATATTATGTTTTCCAGATAATGCAGGTGCCTAGTTTTTTTGAAAAGGGATGTGCCACAGTGAGGAACGTTTTATAGCAGAAACAAGAACACCAACAATCAACTGGTGGTGGTGGTTGCTTGTGCAATACATGACACATAATTTGACTCTTAAGCACATTTTCATATTTAACCATCATTTGAGAAACACTGCAGTTTGAAGACCATTAGTGACTGGTAATTTTTTTTTATTGCTGTAACTAATTGTATTTTGGGAAGTCAGATAGAACTAAATTTACAAGTACTCTAAAGAGGCAAAGTCTTTATAGGCTCAAGCACCTTCAGATAATATAACAATTCCCATGTAAAATGAGACAAATATTTAGCATATGAAGTAAACAGATTAGGAAAAATGACACTGAAAACAATTAATTGGTAAGACTAGGGAATACTATAAAATAGGCCCCGTACTATAGAAAAAATGTCGAGTAGGTCCCTGTACTTACAAAACACCCTATTGAGCGTTTTAGCCAGCTGGAATTAGGTTTCTCAGTTATCAGCCTGTATGGCGGCATGCGTGACATTTTTTGTTTTTCCTTTTTTTTCTTTTTTCTTTTTTCTATTCTCCTTTTTTGTTTCGTCTTTCTTTCACACTCTCAGTGAGGAATTCAAGGTTTGCCCCCACTCTTGAGGACTCCGGGCGCCACCTCTGGGGATGGTGCGGTGTCCATCTCTGGGGGACCGCAGCCGCCACCGTTGGAGTCGGAGTTTGTGGCCATCCCCAAATTCCTGGAGTGAAGTGAAGGACGCCGATGGAGTGAAGTTTGGTGGCAGGAGGCTTAGTTTAAAAAAGCGCGCCTGAGGCGCGCAAAGGCGCGAGGCGCAGAGGGGCGACATGTTTGTCGCATTTAACTCACCCAGGCGGCTCAGGTTCCTAGAGGCGTGCGCTTTTCACGCTTTTTAGCGCCTTTTGCGCTACTCAGAGGCGAGCGCTTTTCACGCCTCAGGGAAGCCGATGAAATTCTCTGCCGATTCCAATTTCATTTTTTTTGGCGATTCAGACCTCCTTTCCGTTTCCGATGTATCTCCCGTTTGAAGCTTACGACTTTTTTTCGCTGCTAGTGTCTCGCGTCTCAGAGGTAGTAAACGAGTCTATTTACTTTTTTTTTCTGCTGCTATTTATTCTCTTTTATTTTAAGTTGTTATATTTATAAAAATATTAAATTATTTAAATAAAAAGTTAGATAACTGATACATACGTAGTATTATCTTTCGCTATTTATTAGTGTTGATAGATAACTGAAAAAAAGTTCAAGACTTTTAAGTTTGTAAGTTTTTTAAGTATTTTAAGTTTTTAAATTTATAAAATTATTTAAATTATTTAAATTTACAAATCTGTCCGTAATTAATTTTACAGATTTGAATTTGTGTGATAGTTTATTGATTAAATGTGTATTATTTTATAGTTTATTAGTTTATTACATATTACTATATCATAATACTATATAATAATATTGTAGTGTTAGAACACTGGTTTATTAACAATTTTTTAACAATTGTATATTGTTTTACACTGGTATATTCAAGCATGTTATACACTGGCAGGGAATCAGATTATCAGACTTATTAACAATATACAATTTGGAATCAGACTATATTGTAGTTTTAACAAATTTTTATATAACAGTTTAGTAGTTTATTACATTAATTGTTTGAATTACTAATAACAGATATAACAATTTATCACAAAATGACTATTAATTGTTTTATATATGAGGCTTATAATCAAATTGTATAATTCTTACAATTTTACTTTAATATCAAGTTTGTTAGTTCTTACTGTATTACTTCAACAATCCACAATGCATAGTTTTTGTGATTATTTCATTCAATATTAGGGTTTTTTGACTTGACTTTTGGCAATTATGCCTTTAAACATATGTTTCTTGCTTCTGTCGTATTGTCTTTAATATATATTTTGTTTCTCTGATGATGTTTATTAAGATTGTTTAATAGTTTGATTTTTGAGAAGAGTGCTTCATGTAGAAGTACTAAAAATATATTTCACCAAAAAAAATGTGCCTGAGATCCGTGAGGCGCGCGCCTCACCGCCTAGCGCCTCACGCCTCACCGCCTAGCGCCTCACGCCTCGGGTAAATTGATGAAAGCGCCTCAAGCCGCCTCGTGCCTTTTAAAACCAAGGCAGGAGGTTGCGTGATCGCTCAAGGCGGCAGTAAGGTTGGGAAGAAGTTAATGGGGGAGGGGGGGGGGCAGCGTAGAAGAGAAGAAAGAAACATGGATAGAAAAGAGAAATAGAAAAAGAAGGGGAAGAAGTGAAAAAAAATGTCAAAAAAAATGTCACGTAGATCACATTCACCATGTGAGATGTTAATAGGAAACCTAATTCCAACCAACTAAAACGCTTAATTGAGTGTTTTTTAAATTCAGAAGTTCAATTGGGTGTTTTACGAGTACGAGGGCCTAATCGACATTTTAGCTAGAGTACGAGGCCTATTTGACATTTTCCCTATAAACTAAGAAAATAAAAATTTTGAATAAAATATTCTCCTCTTTTCACAAAAAAAAAGGAAATTGCGTGAAACTATGCCATCCTGGTACTCGATCGGCTATTACACAATTTCTTTACGATCTGTATGTGAAGAGAAATTTAAAACTTGCTGCGTAAGACTGTAAGATGCCACAGACCACATATATAGAATAATAAAAAGAAGACCTTTGGAGAGTTGATCATTATTGCGAAACTTAAGATACTGAACATACATTATTACAGAGTTTGTGGTTTGAAAGAATTCATTGGACCTTTTCCGTTATACGTGTCATTCCATTGTAACCTTTGGCAATTCATTCTCTTGTATCTTTGGTATATTTTGATAATAAATTAGTTATTTGATTTAAAAAAAAGACATTGAACATACTAGTACAATATAGAAAGACTGGTCAAGTTCTCTGTGAAACTTGGAAAAGAATCTGTATAACAGGGATCACCAATTCTCTTGCACAGAAAAATGAACACAAGCCAGAGAGTGAGTGCACATTAGATTGAATTATCTCCAACTTATTTTAATAATTTATGTGGAAACCCAAGTCTATTTATGGTATGTGGACCCAAGAAAGCTGAAAAGAGCAATAATCCAGCTATGGCCAAAATATAGTTAAGATTATAATCTGTTTTGACCTTCCATCGCATAACATCAAATCTTTTACCATAACTATTGCTTTTTGCCTATTTGCCAATTCTACTTGCTTAAATCAAATTTTGAGTTTGTTTCTAATGTTTTTGAGAGCCAGAAGTCTGTCTCCCAAAAAATAGACTAATTAGTATCCCGTACTTTCTCATTGCCCACTTTACTTACTTTCTTCTCACTTAGTATGTTAAAATCTGCCTCGCTCACACTACTCAGTATCAAGTTACTAAGACAAATGACTAATTGGAATCTAGAATTTCCTCTTTGCCTAATATACTTGCTTAGTTCAAATTTCCTGCTTCTCTTCTAATGTTTCAAATTTCCTGGTACTTTTCTCATTTAGCAAATTAAATCCGACTTATTCTGGCTACTCAGTAATAAAACAAATGACTACTTGGAATCTAACATTTGTTCTTTGCCTATTGTTCTTAAAGGTATTTTGTGCTCTCTTCTTACTTAAAAGAAAAAACTTTTTTTACATCAATGGGAATCAAACCATCCCTAAGTGGCCATGAAAAACGGAAATCAAAATCTTAATCAAGAACTCTAATTAATAAATTCAAAGAAAACTAAAATGGGAATCAAAACTTGAAATTTAAAACCTAACTGGAGAGAGGAGTTACTTCCGTGCTTTTGAACTCGGATTGATTCCTATGAGCGATGAAGAAGAGTTGTTGATGAATGAACAGTATGATGATGATGATGATGGAGATTATAAAAGTTGCCTCCTGAGAAGTAGGGCTTTGCTCTTCCTCGCTACTCTGATTCTGCCAAGGTGCACTAGAGACATTAGCACTTTGGCAGTATAGTCATAACAAATAGAAGGCCTGGGAAATTTACAATAATATTAGAATGACAAATTTGGAATGGTAGAATTAGAACAAGTTTTGAACTAAATGATACAATAACAATTTTTTTTTGTTATTGATATCATGTTCCGACCCCATATCTTTTGGGATTAAACCTTGGATGTTGCTGGTAAATAGCTGGCAATTTTTGTGGATATGGGACGCAGCTGGGCAAGAGAGATTTCAGAGTCTTGGAGTAAAATCTTTTCTAATTTATTGGCCAGATGAAGAAGAGGAAAATTGGTGTTGGGAGCCAGCAAAATGCCCTGTATTTACTATTGCCCTGTATTTTCTCTTCGCCGCTGAGGACAAACATTACGTCGAGGTCACAAAATGCATTGTTCTACATTTTCCAGTTCATTCGTGTGGTTTGGCTCTTCACGATTATCATCTTGATAGGTACTAGACTACAAGTGGCCATTTTAAGCCATTATTGCAGGAGATGATTATTTAATGATTGTGATTCCTGCAGGGTCTAACTAACATAGCATCTACTGTGATTGGAGAAATAGGCACCTTTACCAGAAATTGAGTTGCTTGGAATCAAGTGTTCTTGAGAGTGGACATAGTTTGTTGCTATTCGATTATCTTCACCATGGTTTGATCTATTAACCTCAAAGACAGGGGGGAAAGCAGCCAGGAACTTGGCAAAACTGACCCTTTCCAGGCAATTCTTCATTGTCTGGAAAGGGTTGTATTGTTTGCTTAACCTTTACTTCACAAGGTTTGTATTGTTTGCTTAGTGTTTATGCTTATTGTTTGCTTATAGCACCATTATTGGTGTGCCCTCCATCTTGGTGTTACTTTAGTTTGCCAGAATGACTGGGGAGGGTGTATGTACCTTTTATACATGACTATTTCTGAAATTAGTTCAGAACAACAAATCTGCCACCAAAAAGCCGATTACACTCATGACCCTTGTGTTCTACTTTACGGGTTGAGGTAAAATATACTAGGAGTAAAGGAAATTAAGGTGCGACCAAGTGCAGTTCTATTTTTTGAATCAGTACTCTCTTAGTTTTTTGGTGTGCATTTTCTGAATACGATACGACGTACTAAATAAAATACATGTTTTGGAAAAATATACTGCGTATTTGTTAAATTATTGATTATATCTGAACTTTAATGACATTCTGGAGCTTCAGAATGTCAAGTAAGCATTTCCAGATGAGCTCTGAGGGGATATAAGAAGAAAAAGAGTGCCTAATTTCTCTTGCTGCATCATGTATATGTATGGTTACTGTAGCTACAACATGAATCCAGCTGCAAGTTAAGTAATGGTTTTTGGATGTTAGATCATGGCAAATTAGCAAGTCTTACTTTCTTTGAATACTGAAATCACTTGGTTTGAGATTTGATGATCATGAATAATATTTCACATTTCTTTGCCTCTGAAGTCTGAAGTCCCTATGGGAGTTTCCTTCTTTATTAATTAAGTGAATGACTAGGTTAATTAACTCCAGTTTACGTCACATATTTCAAATTTAATGAAGAACAATAAACCTGCCAAATGACAGCCTTCTAAACCCGCCATAAAAAATTAAATGTAATATTACAAACATCTATAATGTAATGAACAATAAACCTGTCATCAAAAATAAAATGGCAGCCCCAGACCCTTTTTTACTATTTTAGGAGTAGATGTAAAATTCTGATATACCTCAGAAACAGTTTCACTCAATAAAAGAAGTTTGTTAGTAGGCGTTTTATTAACATGACTTGATGTACAAATCTACTACTTTCAGAAAGAGTTCCATTTAACATAATAATTTAAAGCTAATTCAAGGAAAGGGTATAAATTAGAAAAAAGTTGAAAGCAAAAGATCACCAAATGCAGATAGATTTGCGATAGGAAAGCCAGCTTCAAATGGGATGCTCTGAGTGAAGAGATGGATGGAACGAAGGTGCATGGACCTCATAATGAACATATCAATATCCCTTATGTTGGATAAGTTAAAAGTAATAGTAAGCAGTTCAATGGAACAGTAAGAATGAGTGTGTTTTAAACCTTTAGCAAAGCACTCCTCTGATAAATCTATTCTCCCAAGCTCCTTGGTGGTATACAATTTCTAGAGTGTCAAGTCATGAGTTGACAAGTTTCTTATTCCTAGAATCAGACTTAGAGGAATCGGGTAACTTGAAAAGGATGTCTCGAGAAGCGAATCCAGGAATGTAAGGCGGGGTGTGCTCAAGGTTTTCAATAGACGTAGCGGTAGTGGTAGCGGTAGCGGTCATTGCGGTAGCGGCAGTGGTAGCGGTAGCGGTAGCGGTCATTGCGGTAGCGGCCTGTAGCCGGCGGTTGCAGTGGCGTGAAATATATTCAATTGCGCAAAGCATATATTTAATGGGTGTTAAAGTTAATAGAAATGTTTGAACAATTATATAGAAATATATTTGTAATAGAAATATATACAAATATATATGAGCATTTGTTTGAACACTTATAACATTAACAGCGCAACTAATCAACCAATAAGAATATGACAATTTAAAGAGAATGATAATTAAAAGAATATGACAACCATAGAGATTTAATACAAATTTAGCACCTAGAGAAATAAAAAAAGGAGAAAATAAAAGAACTAGCTTGCATGAAAAAAAAGAGAATGCAGTAGCTTAGAGTATGGACTATGGAGTACACATGGAGTAACTAAATAGTACTTCTATCTAAATTTAATAATTATAAAAGTGAATAGTTACTCCTTAAAGTTAAATCATCTTTGTTAATAATAAGTTCGACTTTAGTAATTATAATTTACATATTTATTAATATTTGCCACCATAATGTATGTGGATAGATGTACATATCATTTAGTGTTTCACTCCATGTATCACTATTAATGTATTTTTTCACATCATTCACACAACATTTACACGTTTACACATCAACCAGTTCGTGATGTACTGCCGGAAATGCCAATAGCGGTCTATAGCGGGTTGTAGCGGGTTGTAGCGGCCAGCGTAGCAGATTTTTCCCGTGAATTGAAAATCACACACCAAAAGCGGACCGTAGCGGTAGCGGCCTCTACCGCGACCGCTATATAGCGGCTGCTATAGCGGTAGCGGGCTGCTATTTCAAACCCTAGGTGTGCTAAGCAGTAAAAAGTTGTTGCTCCACTCTGGGTTTAGCTTAGGGTTATTGAACCAAACTTTTTATTAATTGCGTGAGTTCGAGCTTGATATCGAATTTAATTTAACGGTCCGAGCCAAAAGAGCTTCAAACTCAAACACGAGCTAGATTTTTAATTCTAGCTGAGTTCGAGCATAGTGATGTTTGGTTCGATCCAGACTCGAGCTCATTGATCATATTTATAAATTATAAGATAGGAAGTATATATCTTCAAATGTACACATTGTTACTGCGATTTTATAAATTTAATAATGAATACTAAATTAAGTATTCGAGTATTATATTGAATGTATATCAAATGCTCACCAACAAGATAAAGAAAAGAATTGATTTCTTGCCTGACCTTTTCTACAACTAACAGCTTGCTCGGGGAAAGAATATGAATACCAAGTATAACGGTATAATCAATCAATTAGCGCTTTATGATCTCTTTCATAATGTTCGGTTATTCTTTAATCTCTCCTCCTCCTCCGCCCCTATACACCGCCGCCGGCTACTACCAGCCGGCCACCACCCCAAGCAAACTCATCAGCTTATTTTGGGTTTACTTCAATTAATTTGTACGTAGCTTATTAGCTTATTATAAATTATAAGCTAGTGGTGAATATTTGAAACCCAAAATATAATGGGTTTCATTGTTTTTGTATTCATCGGAGCTGCAATGGGCATTGGATTGGTAGCTTGTTTTGCAAGAGCTCAGAATACCAGGTCCGAAAATCGCATTGAGTTGGTATGCACCCTATCTGCAAAATAAACCATTTACGTACAAATGTTTAATTTATACACAAACACAATACGGAGTATAATTTTAACACATACGGAGTATACTTTTATATAATTGCATTTCTTATATTTTTGATGATTTATTGAAGGATTCTTCTTGTTGTACCCACTATTGTACCCACTTTTGTACCCACCATGTCTTCATAGACATATTTTTGTCTATGACCGGGATTCACAGACAAAAAAAAAACTTCTCACATACATGATGGGTACAAAAGTGGGTACAATAGTGGATACAAACAGATTTTTCCATATAATATGGATTCTTCTTGTTGTACCCACTTTTGTACCCACTTTTGTACCCACCATGTCTTCATAGACATATTTTTGTCTATGACCGGGATTCACAGACAAAAAAAAACTTCTCACAGACATGATGGGTACAAAAGTGGGTACAATAGTGGGTACAAACAGATTTTTCCATATAATATGGATTCTTCTTCTTGTCCCCACTATTGTATCCACTATTGTACAAACAGATTTTTCCATATAATATTCCAGACGTCCCATAATGAATTTCAATTTGCTTTTCTTGATAATCAATAGGGAAAGTTCCCGAAATAGGACTAAAAGAGTTTGAAAATTCCAAAATAGGACTGACATGTTTTTATTCCCAAAATAGGAATAATTACTGCCAAGTTTCGAAAATACTGCCATGTTTGAAGTCTGGTACTGCCAAAACATGTCAGTAATTAGTCCTATTTTGGGAATAAAAACATGACCGTCCTATTTTGGAATTTTCTTACTCTTTTAGTCCTATTTTGGATAATATCTTTAATCAATATAATTTCATTTTATTGTCCAGTTTTAACATCCATTTGTAATCAATTTTAATAAATCTGACTTTTGGGATATATTGAATGAAACTTTTACTTTTAGTTTAGTTTCTAAATATAGATACAAATATTCGTTATACTCGGTTAACCTCGTAACCCATAAAAAGAGGGTGGGACAGAAGGAATATATACTTTTTATAATTATCTCTGTTCTAAAAATCGCTCTAGGCGTCCGACTAGTCCCCGCCTAGGCACTAGGCGGTGGTCAGGCGCCCGATTTTCGTCTAGGCGCTCCGACTAATTGGTTAGTCGTCTAGGTGAATTAGTCGGCCGCCTATGGCGCTTACTTGCCCGCGTAGAGCGCCTAATCGGCCGCCTAGGCCGTCTAGATTCGCCGAACATTACTTCACTTTTTTAATTTTAATTTTCTAAATGCAATACATACTTTAACTTTAGTCATGCATATAAAGAAATGAAGTTGTAAATTAAGATAAACCTATGTATGTTTGTACATATACATACCCAAATTTTATCAGTATTTATATATATAACATAATGAAGTTGAGTGATTAGTTTCCATATACTACGTATGATTAGGCATGGACCCGGTTCGGGCCGCCCGGCCCGGTTCTCGGGTCCGGGTCGGGCCTAGGCCCGGTGGGGTGGCGGGTCCGGGCTCGGGCCTTGTATTTGGCGAACCGGCCGGGCCCGGATCCGGGCCGAATTAATTTTTTTTTTTTCATTTTTGGGGTTAACCGGGTTGGGCTTGATGGTTAGGACTTAGGAGTTAGGAGGGGTTTGGGGGGTTTGGGGGGGTGAGGGGGGGGTTAGGAAAGCAAAAAAAAAATTGACCAAACCGGAGGCCCGGCCCGGCCCGGACCCGGTGGCTACCCGGGCCGGTCCCGGGCCTTCCTTCCCAAAAAAAAGCCCGGCCGGGCCCGGCCCGGAATCGGCTCGGCCCGGGTCCATGACTACGTATGATTAAATTTGATAATTCTATCATTCATGTTTGTTAATGTATATGTAGATGTTTTTATTCACACAAAAATACAATATCACTTATCATATTTATGCAAAAATATAGATAAAAATGCAATTTTTATGTCTCCGACTAGTCTCCGACTAGGCACCCGCCTAGGCGCTAGGCGTTGGGTTGGCGCCCGACGAGCGCCTAGCGCCTTTTAGAACATTGATAATTATGTTTTGATGCATGATCAGTTGATCACTTTTTAATTAGTACTCCCAAAGTTTAGCATTGCAGTGATTTATAAAACATGCAAAAAGTAGTTTGGTAAGATGTAAATTAATTACTTTGTGTGCGAAGTGTAACGACGTAAAAGGTTTACACTGTTTGACTTGATTATCTAATGTAAACTATAGACCAGTTTTTAAAAACATTTTATACTTTACCATGTAAAGTATTTTACGTGGGAGGTTATATACTTTGAGTGCTTTATTATACTTTTCGTGCAAATTAAAAAGAAATTATATAGGAAAAATTGATAAGAATAATCTCACCTTTCACTTATCTTCTCATAATAATCTCACCTTTATATAATCCCAGAATAATCTCACTTTTGCACCCAATCTTCTTTCATTGGGCCCCTTTTTTTGAAAATCTTATATAAATAATCTCATCTTTGTAGATCATCAATAGGTCAGGGTACAATAAAAGAAGATGGGGTGCAAATAGGGCTGAGAAAAAACTCCCAACTCTCAATCCCGATCCTGACATTATGTATGTATGTATGTATGTATGTATGTATGTATGTATGTATGTATGTATGTATGTATGTATGTATGTATGTATGTATGTATGTATGCATGTGTGTGTGTGTGTGTGTATGTATGTATGTATGTATGTATGTATGTATGTATGTATGTATGTATGTACGGGCCCGTGGAGCCTTTGAGGTGGATGAGACCTTTGCCTCAGGCCCCCAAAATATTAAGGCCCCATTTTACTAGTGTCTATGTATTACCACGGTTAGGACTTGGTATTATTTAGTAAGGTCAATTCCTGTTTAGAATATCTCAAATCAATTCTAAAGGAATTGAATTACTTATCTATAAAATAACTAACGGTTATCACAAAAGGCCAAAAGGAATAGTTCCCAATTCCCAAGACTTCCTAATAAATACTACGTGTATTCCAATTATCAATTTAAGGGTTTTTCTAATTCTTTTTTTTCTTTAATTAATTCTTTTAGAGTAATAAGTGATTTTGCAACTGAAGATAAATAAATTTCTTTTACAGTTATATTTTGGGGTAATTTGAGTGTGCACCCCATTTTATTGTCTAAATTGGACTTTGCACCCCGTTTTTAAAAAACATTGTTTTTGCACCCCAACCCCGTATGAAAAGATAAAAATGCCCCTTGGTCAGGATATGTTGAAGGCCGACAAAATCGTTAATGGGGGGACATTTTTGTCTTTTCATATAGGATTGGGGTGCAAAAACAAAGTTTTTTAAAAATGAGGTGCAAAGTAGAACAATAAAATGGGGTGCAGATTTTAATTTCCCCTTATATTTTTTCCTCCAAAATAGGCCTCATTTCACTTTTTGTCTCGGGCCTCCTTTTCCCTAGACACGGCCCTGTGTATGTATGTATGTATGTATGTATGTATGTATGTATGTATGTATGTATGTATGTATGTATGTATGTATGTATGTATGTATGTATGTATGTATGTATGTATGTATGTATGTATGTATGTATGTATGTATGTATGTATGTATGTATGTATGTATGTATGTATGTATGTATGTATGTATGTATATGTGTATATATATGTATATATGTGTGTGTGTGTACACACACACACAAATATTCCGGTCAGGAAATTCCTGACTGGAGCCCCGTCCGGCCTCCTCCGTTTGGGGGCCTTCCCGGTGGTATTTTTTGCTCCAATTTTTTGTGTATGTTCCTCATCAAGTCTAGTTCATCCATACCAAATGTCAGCAAAAAATTCAATTGGGAAGGTCGTTAAATGATTTTTGCAAGTTAACTGGTCCGGAATATGTATTTTTAAATATACATGTATAATTATATATAAATATATAAAAAATGAATATACATTTATAAAAAATGAATATGTATCTAAATATTTGCACATCTTTTTTAATTACTTATTCCTTACAAAGATTAATCTTTTACTACGAGTATCTTACAATATCAAACTTCTAAAACTATTAGGCATTTGTCCGAAAATAGATATTTGGATCCTAACTAAATAGAGATTATTCTTGATCCCGACAATCTAAATCACAACAATATTACAAATTTTGCGGTTCTGATGAACTCTTCAAAAAATCATGACCGAGACTAAGATTTCTTTCTTTAGTAGATAGTCATAATATGTATTTACACATTATATTAATTGGTCACAAACTTTCTCTATGAGTCTACTTAGTTTTGAATTTTAAATAATATGTGTTACATATCCTTCTTTTAATGATTTTGATATAATGTTTGAAGTAAGTTTCACTAAGCCTTGATGGCTTATTCAAAAATTATACTATTAATTAATTGAGATACTTCATTGTCGAGATTTAGCGGGATTCCCGATCGGGATCCCGACTTAATCGGGATTTTAATGTCGGGATCCCGACTTAATCGGGACGGGATACGGGATCCTCTTGTAATTTGAATCGGGATCGGGACGGGATCGGGATTTGGGCAATCAGGATCATCCCGATCCCACCCCTAGGTGCAAAGGTGGATTATTCTTGGATTACGTAAAGGTGGGATTATTAGGAGAAGACCGGTGAAAGGTGGGATTATTCTTGTCAATTTTTCCAATTATATATCTAACCAAACAATGTAATCTATTTTACCTTAAATCTTCGAGTGCAAAAATTTAACGTGTAAACTACCAAATGAAGCTCTGTATAATCAAACCAAATTAAACAGTACAGTGTAAATCTTTTAGATCCCTACAGATATCTATACTAGAAGCTAAGCTCTTCTTAATTGACCTCAATATATACGAATATTCTATTCTCTTGTTTCAATGATTTGGTGACACTTTTTTCTTTTCTTGATCTAAATCTCTTCAGGCAAAAGTAATTGCTGCATTTTCAAGAATGACAATTGAAGATTTAAGAAAATTATTTTCCAATCAAACATACCCTTCTTGGATTGTCCTCGCACAAAGACAAAAGTTGAGTTGAATATCTGTTTGCATATATGTACAATTATTAATCACCATTGATGTTTTGGGTAATTGAACTGAAGTTCTCCTCTTGGTTAATTAATTACAGTTAGAATGGCTTAATCGCAATCTTGAGAAGCTTTGGCCATATATTAACGAGGTAGTTGACATATTAATGACTTCCATTCTTCTATTTGACTTTCAAATTTGTTAATACACAAGTTTCACTTTCACCATTATTATACCTAATTATGTACTAGTAGAAGTTACAAAAAAGTTGATGTTTAGAAAACATATATTGAGACCTATTTTATATAATATGATCTTTTTTAATAATACTACGTGCTGTTTTAACCTAACCAATACTTTTTTCCCAAAAAAATGTATTTCATTGATTCTTAATTAAATAAAGAATAAAAGCATTTAGTAATTCTTTGTAAGCGCGCAAGTAATCTATCCCTTTTTAGTTTTAAGAGATAATGATAGTTTTATTTATAGAAAGGTTTTATACTTCGTACATCTTAGTCATATTTATGAACCTTTTCATGTTTTTATTTATTTTTTATTTTTGAGTAACTTCTCATGTTTTTATGCCTTTGTAACACTAGTATTTTAGAACGCTATACCCAGTCAAAATGTTACTCCGTACTGTTCAAAAAGGAAAGAGGAAATATAAAAAGTGTGTGTGAATTTTGAGATATTTTTCTTTGAATTATACTCCGTATTTGGTAAGTATAGGCATCAGCAGGAGTGATTAGAACAAAAGTGGAGCCAACCCTTCAGGAGCACCGTTCCCGCCTTATAGCTGATCTCAAATTTTCTAAATTGACATTAGGCACTGTTGCTCCAAAATTCACAGGTAATAAATCGATCGGCTTTTAATTGATTTCTAAACCATGGTCAATGGATATTTTTATTTGAATTGGTTTCTTTCCAGATCAAATCAGAAAATTTAGTTTCAATGAAAACTACTCTATCACACTACTATATATGTGTGGTATTATGATTATAGTGAACTTAGTTTCTTATCCTCATGTCAAATAAATCAATTATGAGGGACTATATTCTATTATAGTTGGTAAACATTATCCAATTTTGTAACATATATGGCGACTCTTGACCTCATTTCAGGAGTTTCAATAATTGATAGTGATCCTAACGAGATTATTATGGAGATGGAGGTGCAGTGGGATGGAAATCCGCGCATTGTGCTTGATATTAGCACTAAAGTTGGAGTATCAATACCAATAGAAGTACTTCTTAACATTTCATTTGTGTGCTTATTACACTGATCGAATCGATTTTGAGTTATATTTTTGTGTGAAAATTTGCTTTCAAGTTGTTATTGGTGAAACTAGGGAGTAACAGTGATTACTCAATGATTATTCGGTCAAGTATTAGTTTTATGATTCTTAAATAGAAATGAAATAATAATTATTATTATAATAAATTAATAATGAAGTAGCAACAAATCCCAATAATCATAAACACGTACTATCTTAGCTTTGAAAAAATTCAATCGCCTAAAAATGTAGTAATCTACATTTTCAATTTTATAATAACTACTAATTATTCATATTTGACTCCCAAAAGGTAAAAAAAACTGGCTACCGACTACCGAGTACTGAGTAGCTATGGAAGTCATCATGGTCACCGAGTAGAGAAACTCACCGAGTACTCGGCGAGTTACTCATAAAAATTGAACAATGCGTGTCGGATCAGTAAATGTCAAGGCCCTACATCAAGTAATGAGTATTCGCGAGTACTCTATGATAAGTGGTGGAAACAGGAAGGGGCTATAGGGGTTTCACTTTCACCTCCCCCACCCCCAATGGAAAAATTCTTATTTATATATTTATATATGCATGTATAAATATTTATAATTGGTAATGTTTGTGTTGAAGTTATAAATTTTGGCCCCCATTATATATATAATTTTTTCAAACCCGGTCCCCCTAACACTACTGGCTCCGCCATTTAAATATCAAATAACATAGTTACTGATGTTGTTCCAATTAATTTCTCCAAAACTGCCGTGACTAATTTCATGTACTTAATGTGGTCTTAAATCATTTGAAGGATAACTGTACTCTTTCATACTTCTTAGAGATTTCTCCTAATCTCGCAGGTTAAAGACATCAGTTTTACCGGTGTTTTCAGGATAATATTCAAACCACTAGTGGAAGAATTCCCATGTTTTGGAGCACTATCTTACTCCTTACGTAAAAAAGTAATACTAGTATCTCATTAAATGATTAGAATGGTATATGTTTTCTTAGTTTTGAATATCACATACTTATATGGTCTACATACAGGAAAAACTAAACTTCCGACTCAAAGTTGGTGGCAATATCTCTACTACTATTCCTGGCCTACTAGATGCTCTTAAGGTTTGTGAGCTCTTACACTACAACTACATGCAATTTTGAGGCAACACCATATATTTTAGATACTAGTGTCAAATAAAGATGAGTCCTTTAGATTTTGGATATTGTAGTTTCTCTATACAATGTATGGTAGTCAAATAAGGGGATTAAGGATAGATCTTTGAATAATAGTTTCAGTAAAGGGTCAGTTTGGTACTCGAATTTGTAAAAAAGGTGTCAAATAAGTCTTTATATAGAAGATTATGTCCGGACGTGCCATTTGAGGTGGCTCCCGGTGGAATTTTTTGATAATTTTTTTGAGCATCTTATTCATTAAGTCTAGTTTACTCATACCAAATTTCAGCTAAACATTCAATCGGGAAGACATTCAAATGAATTCTTGAAGATAACTACGCTTTTAACGGCACAATTATCTTCAAGAATTCATTTCAATGTCTTCCCGATTGAATTTTTATCTGAAATTTGATATGAGTAAACTAGACTTAATGAATAAGATGCTCAAAAAATTTCATCAAAAAATTCCACCGGGAGCCACCTCAAATGACACTTCCGGACAGAATCTTCTATATAAGAACTTATTTGACTCCTTTTTTGCAACTTCGAGGACCAAACTGACCCTTATCCCGTTTCTATACTACTACCTCCGGTTTTTTTTAATCTTCATAGTTTGACTTCACACAAAATAAGGAAAGAAATTTGACTTTACTGTAGAGTATACTGTTGAGCAGGGGCGGATCTACTAACACTCCTATGGGGGCAGCTGCCCCCAATAAACCATACTAATCCCATGTAATTTTATTAGTAAATATTAAAATCTATATATGTGCCCCCAATAGAAAAAACCAGTTGCCCCCAATAACTCAGTAGTCCGTCCATCGTCCGATCGTCCCAAAGTTGTAATCACCCCCAAAAAACCAGTTACATAACTTGACGATTGACTAAATTCAAGTTTTTGATTTACGGTTGGGTTAGTACAATATGTGGCGTTTGATAAGTATGTTACTTTTTATACTTTTTATTTATAAGTAATTAAATATGAATACTCCGTAAATATAGCTAGTGTTACTAAACTTATTATGATGTTACTCGGTATTACTTCATTGTATGGCTATTGGAGTACATCCATAAATTTAATTCAATTTAATTTATGACTTACTGAAATCATCTATTAGAGTCTATTTTTTTACATCTATTAGAAAATGTCATTTAATAAAGGAAAAAATAATTCAAATACTCAAACTTTGAAAGGGTGTGAGGTAAATACTCCAAACACTTGAATGTGTAATTTAAATACCTCAAACTTTACATAAAAAGTTATTTTAGCACTATGATTATATATTAATATAAATTTACTGTCATATAATTTATGGTGAAAATTATATGATCATGGTGCTAACATAACTATTTATATAAAGTTCAAGATATTGAAATTACGTACATATACAAGTTTGGGACGTTTACTTCACACCCCTCTAATAAATAAAATTTTAATTGTAAATAGTATGTTACTGTAGATAGTTAAATATAATGTTAAAATTACAATGGATCTCTTCTAAAAGATGAAAACTCAATGCAAAACAATTTTGATATATTTTGTTCAAATTTTTGCAAATGTAGGAATGATTTTACTTGGACTGTTTTCAATAATTCAATCTCAGACCAGACTTAACCAGACTAGATCAGGGCAGACTTCCATAGTTATACACGGAGACCAAACATTTACCAAACCAGACCAGATATAAACAAATCAGACCAGATCAGATCAACAAATTTCAGTCCAAGTAAAAACATTTTAACAACAAAATTATATTATACTATTTTTTATTCGTTTGTACCACCACCACATCTACATAGTACTCTCTTTGTACCATTATACACATCTTACTTTCCATTTTAAGTTATCCCAAAATAAGTGTCATTTTTCTTGAAAGACGTGAGATCCACAATATTTCATTTTATTATACCCAAATCACCACTTTAACTTTTATTTTTAATCATTTTATTAATAATTATGTCAAATCGGAACAAGCCACATAAAATGACACATAAGCATAATATCTTTAATCACTTTGCCCCCAATAAACTTTTTTTCTAGATCCGCCACTGCTGTTGAGGCACTGTTTGACACTGTTTAGCACTGTAGAGACACTGTTTGGCACTGTTTAGACATTGTTTGGCACTGTTTTGATGTAGATTTCTTTGCCAAAAAAGGAAATAAGGAAGTGTGAAGTTTATTTTAGACCGTCCCAAAAAGGAAAGTGTGAAGTTTATTAAAAACCGGGGAGTAGTTATTTTAAATATCGGCTGCATTTAGCCAAGGAGGTGTGTTCTTTACTGATTAATTGCTCTTTTTCTGGCTTTCATGTAGAGTACAATACTAGATTCAATTGAAGATTCCATCACATGGCCAGTGCGTCAAATCATTCCCATAGTACCTGGAGATTATAGGTACTAGCTAGCTAGTGACATTAACTAATTTTTCATGCATGGGGATAGAATATATTTTTAACTTTGTGTCTTTACAGTGATTTGGAGTTAAAGACAGTTGGAATACTAAAGGTGAAGCTTATCCAAGGGAAGGAATTAACAAATAAAGACTTCATTGGGAAATCAGACCCATTTGCTGAGGTTTTCATTCGTCCGCAACGTCACAAAATCAAGACTAGCAAAGTTATTGTAAGAGATTCTTTTCTTTTGATTTACAGTTTACCCATTTATTTTACAAACTTATCCTAGTATTTTTTGGTGTCAAGAACAACTCAGTAAACCCGATCTGGAACGAGAATTTCGAGTTTGAAGTTGAAGATGCGTCTACTCAACACTTGACTGTAATGGTTTACGATGATGAGGGCATTCAGAATTCTGAATTTATTGGGTGTGCCCAAACGCAGTTAAAGGACATTGAGCCTGGAGAAGTGAAGAGTATATGGTTGAAACTAGTGAAAGATTTAGAAATTCAAAGGGACACAAAAAATAGAGGCCAGGTCAGCTCAAGTTCGCTCTCTCATTTTTTGTTTTCCGAAAGAGCAAGCAAAAAATGTGTATTAATAAGGGAAATTCCCTTAATTAAGAGTAAACAAAATAAATAAATAAAAAAGGAAAAATTGATAGTAATAATCCGAATTATTGGCGGTCCGCCTATAATAATCCCAGCTATCGATTATTTCAGAATAATCCCAACTTTAGGGACCTTCCGCCAATAATGATCCCTATAAATAAATTCTTGTAGTTTTTGAAGTGGATGAGAAGAGATATAGCAAGTAATAATGATCCTAACTAGGAGTATTATGTTTTTTTCTTAATAAAAGTAATTTAAACACTGTAAACCTGAAACCATAGTGTCATACTGATAGCAAACTGTCGTCTCAATAATATTGTGACAATATGTTTTTAGTATGACAATATTTTATCCTGTTTAAGTGGAAAACATAGTACTTTTGTTCAAAGAAAAAACTCATATTTTAATAGGGAAATTTCTTTATTAATAAGTAGTAAATGGTAACTTGAAATGCAGATTCAATTGGAGCTGCTTTATTGTCCCAATGGCACAGAGAGCACTATCTATAAGAGCTATTCCAACCCTGGACTAAGACTAACTGACTTGGAGAAGGCCCTTCTACCAAATACAACCACCCACAATACAGACGACAGTCTCCAATTTCGGGGCGTCCTCCGTTTGACTGTAATAAAGGCAGAGGATTTACCAGCGACAGGACGCCTTCAAAGATGTGATCCATATGTATTAATAAAACTAAAAAAGTCAGAACATGAGGAAAAAACTAGAGTAAGTGTTTACATTATGGCACATTCTCTACCAATCAAACTCATTGTTCTATCTTAACATGTATAAGGTTGATGTTTTGTATCTGAGTTTGCTTCTTTGTATTAGGTTGCGTGTGATACGATTCACTTTGTCCTGCAAAATATGGACTCCTTAGAATACACCAATCTTGAAATCAACAAAATTTAACTCTAAAGAGCAGATGAATCTTGAGATTTGTGAACTTTTTAGGGGATTGAATTGTATGTTTTATCATAGTGGACTTTTAAGTATAAGATAACAATTTTCTGGTATCTCAGATTGCGACCAAGACGCTTAACCCGGTTTGGGACCAAACCTTTAACTTTGTCATTGAGGATGGATTGCATGATCTCCTCATATGTGAAGTTTGGGACAATCACACATGTCGAAAAGTAAGCAGCCTTGACATATATAGTAAATATATTAGTGTCATTTTTTCAAGAGTCTAGAAAAAATATATTTGACTGCATAACTATTTCAGCAAAAAGTCGGGCGATGCATCACGACACTCACCAAAGTTTTACTGAAAACCGAACTTACTGATTGCTTCGAGCTTGATGGAGCAGTGACTGGGAAGCTACACTTGACACTTAAATGGACACCTCAGCCAATAATCCTTTGACTGATTTTTTTGACCCACAACATTCTCTGATTGAAAAAAGATAGACATCCTTATACATGTCTGCCAGAGATGGCAACACATAGATGTCCACACTCCACAGAAGTGGATAAAGTAAAGCCTAAAAAACATGGACTTATAATGATGTAACATGTCAACAACAATATTGTTTGAACTAGGGATGGTAATATGATAATGGTATTGAAATTTGTAAGTAAATTGGTATCAGTGTTTTCAAAACTATGGTATACAAGAGTACAACAGCAACTAATAAGAATTCGCCTACCTTGACCATAAACCTTGGATCTTTGTTTGACATTTTGTTTTTCCATATTATAAGGGTACTGTATAATTTTCAAACATGAAAAATGGGACACTCAATGGCACTTATGGACAAGCTAAAGATGTACAGCATGGTTCTAAGCATAGTCCAAGCTACTTAATCTAAAGAAACTTCTAGCTAAAGAAGTTTCTTTAGCTAAAGAAACTTCTAGCTACCTAATCAAACCATCATGTCCTTTTACGAAGGATTAGAAACTTAGCACATCTTTAAGAGAAGATGGTTAGCCCAACATTATAACAAAAAATTTATAGTAATTCGTTTTTAAGGATTAGCTATTAAAAACCCAACAAACACCTGCAATTCCTTCAGCTCAAAATACATATATGGAACAAATTTGAGTTTTAGAAGCATACTATGTAAAAGTCAAATTGTTCTTACCCTAAATGGAATGTGTTTTTCAAGAGTTAGACTCATAGACTCAAATGAAGTGTCACAGTACATAAAATCAAGTCCATTCCTTATGGGATGTCCACATTAATAATTCCACTATTCCGTCATATTCATGTTTGAAGCCTTTTTTATAATCATGAAATTGATTGAATGAGTTGATTCTACTATGTTTGTGCACCAGCTCTTAGTAGGTTGATTTCTTCTAAAATATGTCAATATTTATTCAAACGGCTCCATTGGATAAAGACTGAATTGAAACGTTAGCAAAACTAGCGTTTCTATTGTCATGTAATACTCCGCCGTTCCTAAATTATCCCTCCAATTCACTTTTCTGCTTCTACGATTTCTTCTCGACACGTTTCAGCACTACGCTAAAAAAACTCACCAATTCCACACTGCACTAATTATAAACAAATGCAATATGAAGAACATGACTATCTGCTTGGGAGAATTCCTCAAATAGGACTAAATGGAACTTTAATTGTCAAAATAGGACCATAACTTAATAATTCTCTAAATAGAACTAACTTTCCAATTCTACTCTTTCTTTGTTTTAATACAATTCATATTCCATTAATAATTAGAATAGATAAGTAATAGGAAAAACTGTCAAATCAACCCTCGAAGTACAATCTCTAGCTAGAAGTTGAGTGACATCAGTATTATTTTTATCAGCGAGTAATGCAAATTTTTACATTGAAAAATGGACTAATGAAATCCTATCATTGACGAACGTCATCAAAGTACTAAACACTCACACCAATCTCGAGGGAGTCATCACTACTCCCTAACACAAGACTATCGAATCGAACTACAAACCCCGAGCGATTCATCCCTCCTTCGAGCCACTAGTTAGTACATATGTGGTGCCCCCATTGGGCCACCATTGCCGATTATGCAATTCCCTAGATGTTACCCCTTGAGGGCACTACGAAAGTCTGGTATGATCTGGTCTGGTCTGATCTAGTCTGATATGTTTGATATGGTCTGGGACAGAAAATAGTCCGAAAGAAAACATCCTTTGAGGATTGAGGGTATGACATATTTTGATGTAAATTGGATGATCAGACCGAACAAAACACGAACTATATGGTTGAATATTTTGACCAATACAGATGTTGGTCCGAAATTGTCCGAACCTGAAATGTTTAAATCTCGAATGAGCAGACTATAGTTTAAAAAATACGGAGTATGATGTTTGAAAAATTTTTAGCTGCGGAGTATATATACGTAGTAATGGTAGTATTAGTATTAAACAATTTTTAAGAACTAACTTAGGTTTAATTTAAGAGAGGATTCCTAAAAAAAGTTTTGGAATTCCAAAATAGGACAATCATGTTTTTTATTTCTTGAATAAGAGTGAATTAACATGGTATTTTTTCTCAAACTTTGCAGAATTAAACCTATTTAGGAAATAAAAAACATGATAATTCTATTTTAAAATTTCCAAGCTTTTTTACTGTAATCCTAGTTAAGGCCATTTTATTTTAATTTAATTTAAACTTAACGTATATATAGACAAAAACAATGTCAAATAACTGTCTCATTTGCTTTTGGAGTAGTGCAATATTACAATACTTGCTTTTATAGTGAATTTCTTTTCAAAAAGAAAATGTGATAATTAGTTTGAGACATCCAAAAAGGAAAACTAAACTAGACAACTATTTTTATACGGGGGATTGGTTCATAAAGTACGAAGCATGGAGTACTTCATATATATTATTTATTACTACAAAAAACTTTCTTGGATAAAGTAAAAAAAGTTTACTTTTTACTTGATTATATCATTGAAAGTAAACCAAATAAATGAACTAATGATTAAATGTCATTAAACTCTTAAGATCGTAGTCTTCATTGTACAAGTTTGGGCCTCAACCCCGCCATTTTTGCATTCGTCTTTCCTTTGTACATTGACATTGGAGCATAGAACTGGTTTGTGTCAGGTTCTTTCATTGAACCCCTCCTTGCGGAACTGCTCAAGGTGACAACAAACATCTCATAGTTATGAAGTAGAGAACACAAAAGTATTGTGATTTTCTGCCCCAGCCTTCCCAGACTTAAGAGCTCATTCAATCGAACAAAATTCATTTACAAGTTCCTGAAACTCATTCGTGTAATCGTGTTCTTGCTTATAGATGTGCCATTTCATAGCTAGTTTGTGATTTACTAAATGTCTCATGCATGAGTAGGGTCTTATTTGCAGCCATTTCACTTGATACAAAGTGTTGAGTTTCTCCCAAAGTTTACACACTTTATTCTTGAAAATGTGTAGAAAAACTTTGGGGTAAATCCATTGTGTGACTTGTACAACAACTTTCTTATTCCTTCTCATTGAAACATTACTCATTCATCTAGTTTGACCCATTTATTTTCTAAAAACTACTAAATTTTTAAGATGCAACAAATATTGAATTTTTGGGTTCGATCCACACGTTGTATTTCGTTGCATGGAATACATGTAAATTTTTTAGTTGTGATTATTACAAAACAAAGCTCATGATTTGTTTTGGAAGTATCGAAATGGGAGGGCAGCTTTTATTTGGTGCCATAATTTTAATATTGATTCATTTTAATACATCCACTACTTTCAAATGTTTTACTCAACACCATCGTTAATTAGTCAAAATTTCGGTCAAAAACTTTACACAATTCCTTACTAGAATTCGCAATTCTAGTCAAAAAAACTCTACGGTCATTTTATGTTAGAGATTATAAAATAATCACGGTATGCTTACTAAATATATACTCCTTCCGCGCTTTATATTTGAGGTTCTTATCGTTTTTCTTTTACCTTTACATAAATCTCAATAATATAATTTTGATTTTATTATTTCAAGTGTCATTCAAATTTGGGAAAACTATAAATACTTTAGTGAATACTACTAAATTTGTAAGATTATGTTAGTATTGTTGTGAATTATAAATTCTTTATCAGAAAGAAAACGAAAATTTATTTTGAAAAGGTCCAAACGAAAATTTAGATTCAGCTCCTCTCCATTTCTTTCTCTCTATTTCCCCTCCATTTGTTTTTGGTTTAAATACGCTTTTAGTCCCTACAAATATGACACAATTTGTATTAAGTCCCTGCAAAATATTTTTCTTATTTTTCATCCCTGCAATATGAACTATTTTGTCTTTAGTCCATCTCTGATTCTGAAACTACTCTACTTACAAAAAAAATTATTATCACATACTTAAATCTACTAGAAGTATTTAAATTCTTCCTTTTATATTTTTTTGAGGCTAAAATGAGATTTAAAACAATGTAAAACTAACTTTTCACTTTTTTACAATATATATTAAAAAACTTCTAAAAAATAAAATTAAATATTTCTTTAATAATATGACAAAGAATAAGAGGAGATCTATTAATCGGAGTTATTTTGAGGTCAAATGGAGGTTGTTATCATCAGTGATGGACTAAAATGAAAACCAACCTAAATTGTAGGGCCCAAAAACAAAAAAATGCAGAAATGTGAAACAAAATGTACTATATTTGCAGAGACCAAAAACCTACTCCCTCCGGTTTTATTTAATCTTCACACTTTGACTTCACACAAAATAAGGAAAGAAATTTGACTTTACTGTAGAGTACACTGTTGAGGCACTGTTTGACACTGTTTGGCACTGTTGAGACACTGTTTGGCACTGTTGAGACACTGTTTGGCACTGTTTGGCACTGTTTTGATGTAGATTTCTTTGCTAAAAAGGGAAATAAGGAAGTGTGAAGTTTATTTTAGACCGTTCCAAAAAAGAAAGTGTGAAGTTTATTAAAAACCGGAGGGAGTATTTAAACCTTTCTTTTTTACTTCATATCTATCTCTACCTTTTTCTCTGTCATAATCACCAATCTACCACACCCTTAAATCTCTCATCTCTATATCTCTCGTAATGAGACTCTCCAGTTACTGGAGAAGATCCAATTTAGTGAGAGAATCTAGTATAATTTAAAGTAAATAGCATATCTTGAAGAAATTTTTAGAATGTATATGAATTATACACAAAGTGTACATAAAACTCTCTAATTGTCTGAGTACACGTGCAATTCGTTTGAAAAGAGGACATAATTTGATGTCAAAATGTCTACATACACATATAATGTACAATTTTTTTGCACATTTGTGTATAGGAAGAATCATTATACACATTCGTTCAACAAGTGAAATTAACAAAATACGGAGTAGCTTTCTTAAATTGACAAAATAATCTCAATTGACAAGCAATCCTTCACTTTCATAGTACTTTTCTTCTTCCATCAGAGTTTCAGCAGGCATTGAAGTGGCCTTAGTAGCTGCGTGATGCGAAGAATTTTCAATTCCTGTTTTTATTGATCGGCTATTCGCTTCGTACTTTCGTTTGTAACTAACATACAACAGTCGCTATGACTAGGCCGATCTTCCTCTCACTTGTCTTTCTTCTTCAGCTCTCCTTATTCTCTCTCGCCGTCGCTTCACGGTGTGCTCTCTCTTAATTAACCCTAAAGATTATAACAAATTATTTTAGTTTTTTTCAAGCATTTTAGTTTACTTTGGCTACGAGAAACTTCTGTCCTTTAGTGTCATGTATGCGTAATGTTAAGATCTAAATATTCACCCCCTCATCATCCTCAGATTCTTTATTGATTTGATGTATTGTTTTGGGCAGGACTAGTGATGGGTATACTATAAACGGACGTGTGAAAATACCAGGTTCAAATGTAATTTTTGTTGATATTTCTGCCACTCTTGTTTTGAGTTCCGTTCATGCTAATGAACTTAAATGGCATAAAATAATATGATCTGGTTTACTGGTTCCTACATGTAAAGAAATTGCTAGGAAAGATAGCATTTTTATGCTTTGATCTTCGAAGGTGGAAATTTTGGTACTACCATCAGTGCCCCCCACTAACTGTAATGAATGTGTGAAGTTTCAATGGTTATATATGAACTTGAACTTGTGGCGTGGAAATTGAAGCAAAGTTCTGTTGATGATTATCTTTATCTGTCTTTGCATCTTCAGAAGCTGAAGAGGGCCAAGTTGTGTTCACTTCGAATCTTAATCATCACTTTTTTGCATTGAGTTGAAAATGTCCTAGATTGCAAAGATTAAATCTTACTTGTTTTCCAATATGCATGTTTGGCTGGGTTAAAATATCATATATGATTGATACCTGTTGGGTTAGAGATGGCATTTATGTGTTTGTAATTTGATTCCCTTCCTTAACCTATGTTGTTTCTGCTATGCTAGTAATTTCTTTTGATTCACAAATATAGAATAGCAAACAGAAGTAAAGCAGGGAATGAGAATTGGCCATCCTTTAAGATAACATGTGATCTTTATTAATCTAATAATACAACATTGCTTATTTTTTTGTTAAAGAATCTTAACCTTTAGGGTCTCTCTCTGCTTTGGCTAAATTCATGTGCAGTAAACAGCAATAACATCTATCTCTTTCACTAAAAGAGTAGATTCATGAGTCAATAAGTATTATCTATCTTAAGAATATGAATAAATAAGAAACATATGGAATTATTATGTGGGATGATAGTAACCAAAATATCCTTGTTGTATGAAACTATGGAAGAAGGGGAAGTAAATGAGACTTTTTGAATTATATTGACCAGATAAAAGAAAAGTGGGTGTACCTTTAAGGGCTGTGAGGCTGTCTTGCTTTTTCATTCATTCATTCATTTTATGTTAGTGACATTATTGACTTATTGTATATCCTTTATATTCTTTTTATTTCTATTCCTATGAACCAATCAACCTCATATATCAGAGAATCCGGAATCTTATACTCCCTCCGTATTCTAAAGTTTGCTACACTTTCCTTTTTGGGATGTATTTAAAAATTTGCTACACTTTCCCTTTTTGGTAAGTTTTTTCCTTTAAGAATACTCAACTACCCTTACTTTTTCCACTTTTTATCTTCTCTTTCATACTTTTACACACACACACACACCTACTTTTTCTACGCTATTCATTACCCCTACTATTTTATCCTAAAACTTTGTGCCCAAACCTAATGTAGAGAACAACTAAATACGGAGGGAGTACAAACTACAAAGTTAAATGCAATGTTTGTTGTTGAGCATTAAGAATTCTGTGAAAATTCAACCATCTTATTTCTAAACATTACTTTTTTCTGGGTTGGTGAAGTTGCCACACTTTCCAGTTGGGAAAATTCCCGAAATAGGAGTAAATAAGTTTGAAAATTTCAAAATAGGACTGCCATGTTTTTTCTCCCAAAATAGGAGTAATTAGTGCCAAGTTTGGAAAATATTGCCATCTTTAAAGCTTGGTACTGCCAAAACATGGCACTAATTAGTCCTATTGTGGGATTAGAAACATGGCAGTCCTATTTTGGAATTTCCAAACGTTTTTAGTCCTATTTAGGGTAATTTCCCTTTCCAGTTTGATTAACTCTTGTATGCTTAATATTACTTCCTTGGTTTTGTGATGTTGTCATGGAAATCTTGGATAGTGTGACAAATTTCCAGTTTTTCAGGCCTAATATGTCTTACAGTTAACACGTCGATACACATGAACACTTTTGTACAAATGTATTATGTATTTCTGACTACTAGCAGCCACTAAATATTTGACTCGCAAGCTCCAAAATTTCATTAACTTTTTGAATTCAAACATTGGCTACCTGGATCCAAACCTTTTGTACAGTTTTGAAGTTTACTTATCGTAGCCTGCTCTGTACTCTGCATTTGTTAATTCCTGGTCATGTGTTTAGATTCTTTTATTTTTTTCCAACATTATTTCTTTTGCCCTCAAAAGTAATACATGCAATAAATGTTGTGGTCATTGATTTACCCAAGGTGCATGGCATGTTCTGTTAACTATGTGTCTATGTATAATAGAAAAAGTTTCTTCTTTTGCTATGGTGTGGATAGGCTTTAACTTGAAAGGATCTGGTTTGCTGGCTAAAGCATCAGATGTCAAGGTGGTACTTAATGGTGGCCAAAGAGTTACATTTTTAAGACCTGATGGATACTTTTCATTGTATCCTTGACTTATATTTCAATTTGTTATGTTATTTCCCTAATCTTTAATTTTTGCATTTAATTCCCAAGTTCCCATCATTCCTGAAGGAAAAAAGCAACTGAATCTCCATTATCACATTATGTTTTGTTTTTGTATTAGTGTCTTGATATATTCCTTGGCAGATCGTTTTACAAATAAGACTGATATAAGTACTGATGAGCTGAGCTGTACAAAAAAATTACGTTGAACTGATTACTTATTAGTTTTGTTCCTAATGTGCTATTAGTTTTTTAAAAAGGAAGAGGTTGTGTTAGTGTGTTTAGTTGCATTTATGTGTGAGTTTCCTACTTTTAGCATTTCCTTTGGCTCAAAATAGGGGAGCATGATGGAGGGATACAAAGGGAACAGTTTAAAAAGATGATATGTTTTGTTGAGTAGAGGAGCGAGAAGAATTAATATTTTAGATAATATTCCACCCCACTTCATCATCTGTATATGAGTTTCCACCCCATGTTATAAATTATAATATTTACATTATTACACCCTTAAAATTGTAGTTTGCACCTGATTTTTCCTTCTGAATTGGAAATTGGAATCCACACCCTATTCAAAAGGGGGTATTGAACTTTGGGTGCAAGTATTAATTATTTCAGATATGGGGTGCAAAACCAAATGTGGATAATAAGTGAGGTGCAAATTACGATCTCTCCACTTTAAAATGTTATATTTGATATAATCTTTGTGGTAATTAAAATATAGTAGTAGCGCATATATGTATACCTGTATAAGGATCTATTTATTATCAATATTGGAGTAGGCTTCATTGTAGTTCCTTAATCAATGTGCTTTCAGCCATAACGTGCCTGCTGGGACACATCTAATTGAAGTGGATGCAATAGGCTATTTCTTCTCTCCAGTGAGCCTTCGAACCTACATAACTGATAATATCAGGAGGATTCTCTGCTGAGCTTATATGCATCTTACCTTTTCCTCAGGTTCGCGTTGATGTCAGTGCCAGAAACCCAGGCAAGGTTCAAGCAGCGCTGACAGAGAATAGAAGAAGCCTGAGTGAGCTAGTCTTGGAGCCACTAAGGGAGGAACAGTACTATGAGGTCAGATTAAACTTCAGACTTCAATCCCAAATGTGTTTTGCCTTTCTCTTTTCTGAAGATTTAATGCTTGTTTCGCTTCTTTATGCTGCAGATGAGGGAACCTTTCTCCATCATGTCATTAGTTAAGAGCCCTATGGGTCTGATGGTTGGATTCATGCTGCTTGTGGTATTTATTATGCCTAAATTGGTAGAAAATATGGGTAAGCCTCTGTGCCATTTAAATTTGTGTTAACATTATTAGTCTGGTTGAACCACAAGGCGGATTTTCACTTTCGCATTCATTGAATCACCAGGATTTGTTAAGGTCCTTTTATATAAATCAAATAGAAATGCTAGGGAACACACACACACATCTTCGATTTGCAAATGAAATGTCTCTGTATGCATGCGAGTTTTTTCACTTTTAATCTTCAGACTTCTATCATTGATTTGTTACATGTATTTGAATTTTCCCACTTTTTGTCTTATTACTATTTTAATAGTGACATAATTTAATTCTCCAACTGTGATTGAAAAAGCGAAGATGGGCACTGAAAGTGTCAGTCAATAATAGTGCAGAATTGTTATTCTATAACAATTCATTTTGTTTGTTGGGCAGATCCTGAAGAAATGAGGCGTGCACAAGAGGAAATGAGAAGCCAAGGAGTCCCGACCCTTTCAAGCTTACTACCTGGGGCGGCACAGAGAAGCAGCTGACAGGACTGTGGAGTAACAGCTCAAAGCTTTGAAGTATTCATTTCTCGAATAAATGAATTCGAGAAATCCATTTATTTCTTCTGCCTTTGCCCAAAATCTGCCATCCTTATGTTTCACAACTGACTTTTTTGGTCAAACCTTTTAAATTTTAAACAATGTCTTTAATCAATATACTTCGGTGATTTCAAGGAATTAATAATTTAAAAATATCCCGAACTTTGGAAATTGAAGATGTGTGAACTGAATATCTCAAACTTTCATTTGTTATATAAATATCATAAGCTTTATGGTAATGGTTATGTAACTTATGTTGGCACCACAGACAGGTTTTTCCATTGAGAATTGAGATAGTAGGGTACACTTGGCATATTAAGCTTCCATTTTTATATAAATCATTTGAGTTTATGGTATTGAGGTTACTGTCACCTACAATATTACGTTTAAGCAGGTAAGCTGTGATATCTAAATTATTATTCCCTTTTTGTGAGATTCTTTTTAGGAAAAATTTCCAAGATATGACTAAGACATATTGAGTTTCTCAAAGTATGAGTAGCTATGTTTTTTTCCAGGAATATGACTAAAAATCGAAAAAAAAAATCGTCATATTATAATGTGGAAGGACGAAAATGCCCTTATTTAAAAAAGATGCATTTTGCACTAATTTCAGCCGTGTAAATATATTGCACTTTATGAACGTGTTATAGCACAACATTTATAGCACTTTATGACGGCATTCACTGCACAACATATAATGCACTTCATGCACTTAAGTTATGGTACTTCAGTTTGTCCTTTTTTAGTTTTGATAATTTTAGTTTTTACGTTTAATTAAATCCAATGCACATACTCCATGCGAGAGTTATGACAAAACATTACAAAAATATTACTCCCTCTGTCCCGCTAAGATTGCCCCATTTTACCTTTTCGGGAAGTCCCACTAAGATTGTCTCATACCAAATTTGGTAAAGTTTGTGTGGCTCTAAACCATTCTTACTTTATTCTTACTTTATCAATTTAATATCAACCACACAAACCCACTTTTCTTAATAATCGTGCCACCTTCTCTTGTCCCAATCTTAGTGGGACGGAGGTAGTAGCATTTTATAATTTTTTAGATTTGATAATTGCAGTTTATATCAATGTTAATGCTCTACATTATTGCACTTTTTGTCAAAATCACTTTATATATTGTCATATCATTGCACTTCTTTGTCATAATCATTGCACTTCTTATGATATTCACGGCATTGCATAAAAATATTCATTGCACACTGTCCTCAATCGTCTTCAACCTAGGGTTCTTCTTCAATCTTAGATTCGTCTTCAACCTCGACCGTCTTGCTGAAGAATCTGAGTTGTTGGAGCGGCAGTCCGGCCATCACCATTCTTTGGCAACATTAATTATTACCCTAATTTCATTAAATAGAAGAAGAACCCAACAAACCGTAATCTCAAGTGGCAAGAGATCAAACACGATGGTTGACGGAGGCACGAGGCAACTGTGCGGCGGGACGGCGGCGGCCAGGGCAAGGTCGGCGGTGGCGGCGAGTGCGGGCTGGACGTACGAAGGAGGAGAACATGCGACTGTGCAATTAGACGGAGGTGATGAGCAGGCGGCGTACGGCAAGGCATCCGCTGGGCGGTGGCGGGGCGACAGAGGTAGGTGGCGGCTAGGTGGAGGCTGGGCGGCGGCGGGGCAGCAACGGCAGGCGGGTGTGCGTGAGTAGTGGGAAGCTAGAGGCTAGGGTTGGAGAAAAAGAGTAAAAGGTTAGGGTTTTATAGACTTAAACTAAGGGGGGGGTATATTAGTCCATAAAAAATAATTATTTAATTATTAATTACGAAATTAATTAAATATAATTGATTTAAATATTATTTTGGGTAAAAAACTAGTTAGGTCATAGATTGGGAAAGTGGGGAAGTTTTACTCATACAAGGGATAATTATTTCTTCTTTTTAATAAGTAATGTTTATACTTTTTTTTGGCAAAAGAAAACATTTGATTAAGAAAAGAGGAAAACGTAAAAGGAAAAAGAAGGAAAAAGGAGAAACAAGAGGAGTGCAACTAAATATAGAGCCCAACCCTAGCCATACAAATGACCGTCCAATAGAACCCTAACTCCTTCAGTATATTAAGACTCCTTAATGCTCCATGCGAGTTTGAGATCGTGTCCTCATATGATATGAATGTTGATTTCTCTTTCTGTAGCTATTCACCTGCAAATTCATATTGTTCGTATGCAAGAAGTTATCCCTATCAGCAAAGCTTTATTGCAGTTTATCACTACTTTTATATTATAAATCATTGTGTGAATATGGCAAAGTTCATACATATAACATATGGCAACAAAAATGAATGTGGCAATCCTGCTTGTGTTCCCTTTCTCTACATAGCAAACCAGTTTTCGTTTGAAAAATGCATCATTAAGTATACACCTTGGTGGCTTGGTGTACACTAAAATCCTACACAAATTGTCATTTCTTTTACAAAAATGCCAAAGATACCCCATTTTGGGGTACACCATTCTTACCCCTATTGTGTGGCCACAATTGGGGCAATACTTTTAAGGGGACACACTTTTAAGTGTGACCTCATTTGGACCACACAAAATGGGATACCTCTAGCATGATTGTTTCTTTTATTCTCTCCCTCTCTTCCATAGGAAATCTCTCACTCCATATATTTTTCTTTATATTTCCTTATATTTCCAAAATGGGGTACCCGGACCGAACCGTTTTAAAATAACAGTTTGGGGAACCCGGACCGAAATGTTTTAAATAAAGTTCTCACGTGAGTGCTTTTTTCCTTATGTACCCCATTAGACATAAGGAAATTTATTTTTCTTTAAAAATAACAAAGTATTATTTTCCATTTTGTTTGGAAAAATAAGTGTTTTTTTCTTTAAAAAAACCAAAATCACTTATTTTTTTTAAGTGATTGCAAACTGAACCTAAGCCTAGAGAAATATATTCAGTAGCTAAAATGGAACGGAGCAAGTACATTTTTGGACCATTCAAGTTGAGGTCCGAGCCTACGCTAGTCACCAAGTATTTCCGATTTTGCACACATTTGCAGTTTGATAGGCCACGGGACCGGATTATTGAGCTCTAGTTCATTGGATTGATCTGCCCTATTTGATCTGGTTCTTGTCTCATAGGTGGACCCAATATACTAAAACAAAAGTTAAGTCTATCACATAGTGCAATATTAGTCACTAGAAACAGCTTGCAAAGGCTCCCACCTACACTTTACCCCAATGGTGCAAAGTACCAAAAGACTATTTCCACGGTGAAAAAATTAAAACTGACTGATGCTTCATAATAAAAGAATCACAAACAATTTATAACTCATTCAAATATAGGAGATGTTTCGATCTGATTCTTAAAACTACTTCTCCTCCTTGAAGGAGCAGAAGCAGAAATTGGAGTGTTTGGGTGAAAGTGCAGAAGTGATTCCGGTACTCTAATTTACTCATAGAATCAATTTTTTAGAAGCTGAGAGAGACCAACTTCTGAAAATTGATTCTGATTCTGCTTTAAAAAATGAAGTAGAAGCAGTTCCAAACACCCCATAACATTCATTTTAAAATATTTTAACTACGTGTGTCCTTGATAGGTATGGAGTATGAACCCAACCTCAATTCCAAAACCGGACTAGGCGGGGCTGTCCAGTTATTTGTCTGTAGAGCAAACTAGGGGTGGGCAAACGGGTACTGGAACCGCAGGTCGAGCCGGGTAATACAAATTCGGGGCGGGTTAGGGTCGGGTCCTACTGTTAGAAAATTCAAACGGTTCGGGGCGGGGTTGGTCCTGAAAAACTTAGGAACCGAACAGGTCTTAAAATTTGAAAAAACGGGTACCCGGACCGACCCGCGATTCCAAAATATTTAATACTAGTATAAAATACTCCCTCCGTAACTTTAGAATCTTCCCATTTCAAAAGTAGGTAGATTAAGAATAGTGAAAGATGATATGAATTATTGAGGGTATGATGGGAAAATAGTGGAATAATGTGGTGGAATGTAGGATAAATCCAAAAAAAGTAGTTGTAATAGTGCATTATTTTAAGAATTATTGAGGGTATGATGGGAAGATTTAGAAATAGGAAGATTTTTGTGTTACGGACGAAAAAGGAAAGTGAGAAGATTTTTAAGTTACGGAGGGAGTAATATACTAACAACACACAAAAGCTCTTCATGTTCTTGTGTTTAGACAAAGACATCCAATTAAAGAAACTTCTTAGTCTATTAAAACTTGTTTTCAAGTCCGTATAATTAAACTCCTAAACTATTTTCCTCTATTCTTTATTCCAAGTGCATCAAACTAAACTTTCTTTCTTTAATACTACCTCCGTCCCACTAAGATTGAGACAGAATAAGGTGGCACGATTATTAAGAAAAGTAGGTTTGTGTGGTTGATATTAAACTGATAAAGTAAGAATAAAGTAAGAATGATTTATAGCCACACAATCTTGAGTTTTTTTCCGAATTAATGCTAAATAAAAAAATATTTACGAAATTAAAGTCGGGTTAAAAGTATTTAACAAAATACTGCTGGATCTAACAATGGTAGGAGAAAGTCGCCAAACGATTTGGCGACTTAGAAGTCGCCAAACGGTTTGGCGACTCTTGCAGCCAAGGAAATCATATCCAAAAGTGTGGGGCTCATTGGATGTAAAAACCACTTTTTTCTTTTACAATCCATAACTTTTTCGTTTTTGCTCCATTTTTTATAGAAAATATACCAAAATTCATGATTTTTTATTATCTTTCATTTGACACTAATATTGGATATATAAACTTTTTAAAAAATTGAAGGCTTATTAAACAATATTCTTATTTTCCACTCTCCGTACAGATGATTTCAAAACAATAATCGCACATATATGACTAAAATAAAGATTGTTTACAAAATTGTGACTAGGGTAGTAATGAAATTATAGCCATCTATGTTGAATTTGAAAATTTCAGTTAGCATGACACTACATTCTAGTAACTATTAGTCATATTTGTGTAAATAAACTTTGTTTTATTTATTTTTAGCAAAAAAGACATTGTCATGCTAACTTAAATTTTTTTACCAAAATAAGACCGATTTTTTTTGCTAAAAATACATTGTCATGCTAACTTATATTTTTTGACCAAAATAAGACCGATTTTTTTTGCTAAAATTAAATAAAACAAAGTGTATTTACATAAATATGACTAATAGTTACTAGAATGTAGTGTCATGCTAATTGAAATTTTCAAATTGAACATAGATGGCTATAATTTCATTACTACCCTAGTCACAATTTTGTAAACAATCTTTATTTTAGTCATATATGTGCGATTATTGTTTTGAAATCATCTGTACGGAGAGTGGAAAATAAGAATATTGTTTAATAAGCCTTCAATTTTTTAAAAAGTTTATATATCCAAT